AAGACCGTATTTTGCGAAAAGTTGAAGTGTTTGATTACATACCGGTGGAGGAGGACTAAAGACATTGAATAGCACGACTAGCAGCAGGTGCGAATAGCTGACGACGATAGCATTTGAGAATATCTTGTACATCCTTTCCTTCATGACCTTAAAGTCAAGAGAGTCCGGATCTTCACGATTTGGATCGTGTTTGCCGTCAAATTCAAAAGCTGTGCGGGATCTTTCTTTGATTGGAGCTAACCGGCTTTTTATGAAGTGCCGAGTGATTTGTTCTCCTTGCAAGCCTTGCTCTTTCAGCTTTATCATGCGTTCCATCAATTCTACTGCTTGGGCAGCCTCATCCCCTGTAGGCAATGAATTCCATGTGTCTTGGTACACCGGAGGAAGACAAGAGTACTCGGGAAGGGCTGGTTCAGGATTTTGAACATAGAACCAGTTGGCGTGCCAGCCTTTGTTCGAGGTCTTCAAGGGCATGGAGAAATATTTTTGGCTTAGTGTTCCCCTGAGTTGAAAACCAGCGCCCCCAACAACGCACGGTTTGCTCTTGTTTGGCTGGGGCTTGAGGAAGAAGATGCGGCGAAACAAGGCAAAATGAGGCCTAATGCCCAGAAAAGCTTCGCAGGCATGAATAAAATTGGCAATATGCACTATGGAGTTTGGGTTCAGATGATGCAGGCTGATTCCATAGAAATTCAGAATTCATCGAAAAAATCTTGAGGTTGGAAGGGAGAAACCGCCATAGAAGAAATGAGCAAATACCACGATTTCATGCGTATCGGGGGTTGGGAATGCTTCGCCAAATGCCGGTCGCCACCCGATGATCTCCTTCGCTGGAAGAACGCCGTGCGCCACCATCTCCTTCAGATTATCTTCCGTCACATCGGAGGGCGCCCACTGACTCTCGAAGCTTTCTCTTTCTTCCGCCATAAATGTGAACTGGATGGTTTGATTTGGTCCAAGATACGGCTGGAAAGGGATGGGGAATCGGAGCGGTGGACGCGGGAAGAAATTTCGTGAAGTTTTTGAGGATGGATTGGAGCGGATTGATGAACCCTAGTTTGGCCGGCGCAGTTTTGTACTGTAGCAGGGAATGAGGAAAATGGCGAGAGTCTCGGCGGGGAAGACGAAGAGACGTTTTATTTCACTTCGGTGCTTTTAGGGTATCGGGAGTGCTAACAGGCCTGGGCCTGCACAGTACTTCAGCCCAATTTTATTTCCAGCGTGGCCCGTTGTGATCCTTAGGGACTTAGGCACTTTTTGCTTTGGCAATTTGTGCTCACAATGATGTGGCCCAATGCTGTTAAAATCCTTTTTAATGCGGTTTGATAATTCTTTGGAATTAACACGATGCAAACAAAAGGTGCCCGACAGGAAGGTGTTATACTATTTTTGTAAGCCTTATTAGGCTGCAAAAGCTGTTTGGGTTGATTTGAGATGACTAATTTATTAAGGGTCATTCTCTTAGCATGTTATATGCTTAATTTGGTTATGGTGAGAGTCATAGCTTAGGCTATTAGACTCGTGAATTACCATGATTTTTTATCATGTTTGGTGGATCATTTTAAGAGTTTCTTACTCGGATTCCTATCAAATATGTCTATTTTTGGACCTTTTTTAGTATTATTACTCGGCCCTTTTTGTATTTTTTATCCTTGATATGTTCAAGTTGAGAAGCAGTCGGCTGGATATTTTACTGAGTACCATGCATGCTTCGCTATAAAACCACTCGGTTCTTGACTGCATGTTTAGTTTTTCAACTAATCATATAGTCGGGGGCTACACCTAATTAGGTGCATCTACTCGATGCACTATGTTTTATTTTCGCCCTTCACAATTTTTGATTTTAGCACTCGGCAAGCTGGAGCAAGTTGAATTGAAGCACTCAGATTACTGTTTTTTGTTTCGAGAAGGCTATTATTGTCAACTGCGAAGGTCTCGGGGGCTACTGTGGAGATTATGGATACCCCATATCTACATGACAGTTATAATTTAGTCGGATATACAATACCAAATATAGATAGAATATCTTTATGAGGACTCGGGTTAGTTTTTAACTTGTATGTCAAGGAAATACCCGAGATCTTAGTCGGTTACGATTGTATTTTATCTGTAATTACATATTCCGTTAGGGATATGGGCTGTACTTTGTAAAGCGGACCCTTTCCCCTATATAAGGAGGGTCCGTGTGCCTCTCGGGGCACGATTCTTTTTTCCAGTTTATACAATCAATAACACACTCGGCGGAATAATCCCCGGACAGGAGTAGGGTATTACTTCTTGAATAAGAAGGCCTAAACCTGTATAAAATTCTTCGTCTCCAAACCCATCCACTTTCCTAGCTTGATAGCCACCCCCTTTTATTATTGCTGAAATCTTGTTTCGACAAATAGCCTCTTGCCTTTCCAACCACATGAGGCCGCTTGGTGTCCTGCTTCTCAGCCACAGGCCGCTACAGCTGCCGGTGGCACGGTCGCCAGTGACGTTGATGCGGCGGCGCAGGAGGGTGGCGAGCACGTCATTGCGGACGTCAGTTTCGCTAGCCACAGTGCCGGTTTGTTGCTGGCCGCTCAAGGGCAAGGCACCACCACCGCGTGAGGCATCAACACAAGCGACTCCCCAACGACGATCGATGGTTGGAGAAGATTACAACTTCTTGTCCATGGAAACTGCTGCTGCTTAATTCCCACTCCTTACAAAAAAGAACAAGTGAAACCAGTGTTAAATAAAGAACAAGTGAAATGACATATATAGATGCCCTTGAATCTGAAATTCTATTCCACCGTATGTTGGATTCTTCTAAGAAAAGATATGGGACCATTAAGGCAGTAATTAAGTAAACAAAATGCAAGGAACGTGATCTCTGGTCATTTGTGTAAAACGAGACAAATAATTAGTGGATGATAATAGATTGGTAAAATATTAGTAGTATACTACTTCCTCCATTTCACAATGTAAGTCATTCTAACATTTCCCACATTCATATTGATGTTAATGAATCTAGATAGATATATATGTCTAGATTCATTAACACCAATATGAATGTGGGAAATGTTATCTATCTAGATTCATTAACATCAATATGAATGTGGGAAATGTTAGAATGACTTACATTGTGAAACGGAGGGAGTATGTATTTACCAAATAAAAGTTTTAGATTCACCATATGACATGCCTCGGCTTTCTCTATCCATTGCGAGAGCCTCCTCGTCACCGGTAGCTTCACACGGAGACGCATACACCGCTGCCACCACTAATAGGATGAAATAGCCCGTGAGTTTACACGCATGATGTGCGTGCATACTGGTGTGTCTGGTGTGTACATGTCCTTTGCTTGCTTAGTACTGTGTACACGTGTATACACGAGTAGGTATCTTCTATATAATCGGGAAAAAGTGGTTTCTTCTTAAATTTCAGTTGCACCGCTTATTCCTTTTGATCCATGTAATCCATGGCCACTTGGTTGTGTAGAGAGCACAACATCTCGCAAATAGAATGCTGCTTTCTCCCTCGCATTTGTAGAATAGTTGATGGAAGAATTTGAGCAAATCCTGTGTAAGACTTGTTACACATGCCAAATTAATTTATAGCTCTGATATTGCTTTCTATTGCACTACTCAAGCTGGCCTAATGTGTGGCAAATATAGTCAGTCCAGAAGTTTAGTTGATTGATATTAGCCACACAAGTTTTACAAAATGTGTCTAAAGTGTCTCTAAAGTAAAAGTATTCTTGGCAATTTTTGATGTATCTCTACACTTCAGAACTCTTAATAATCACCTTAAAAAGTGCCTCTCTTTAATCCCCTCAACTTGAAAAAGTTCATCTCCTTAATCCCCTCTCCTTATATGCCTTTTTGATGTAACGCAAAGGTAAAGTGGCTTTGGTTCCTTGTTTTACGCACATGGCACAATTACTCTTTTATCTTTTCAACCTGCAGCCATGTAGTTGCGTACAGAGCACATCTTCTTGCATACAGAGCGATGGATAGCTATATCCAAAGGACGTGGTAGCATGATGCCTACTTTACTCTACCCTTTCTATAGTATTTTGATCGATCACATAAATATGTAGGGCCCACTATTAGAATATGGCTGTGTGTGGGTGTGTATGTGTTCAAATGATGTGTGTACATTTATATGTATGTTTCCTGTAATGGAATAAGTTATCTTCGTTCCATGTTTCAAGGAACAGCCTAATATTTTTTATGAAAAGGTTAATTGAAAGATCTATTAATCCATTTTTAAGATTAAAATAATTAATACTAAATTAATTATACACTAATGCCTCACTTTGCTTTACGTATGTTCTCAATCCTCCTCTCTATTGGATCGAGATCGAGTCGGTAGATTTTAAGGTCTGTCCATGTCAGGTTCCATCTGTTTCAAGATTTAACCGATGGATCGAAATCACACGGCTAAATTTGATTTTGTTTATTCAGTTTAAATTCGAGTTAAAACTGGTGCCGGCAATTAAGTCATTTACTCCATCCTCAGTGACTATCATCAGTTTGTAAGTTAGGTAGAGCTCTATAGATTTGTCCTCTCATATTCTTTTTGAACATGACAAGAGTGACAATGCAGATCTAGTCAGCCAAAAACCTCATAAAAACAAAGGTACCAAACAGTTCGAGCAAAGCGTGTAGTAAATTACAGTTTGGACCACCTTTTTTCACCAAAGTTTCACTTTGATCATCCTTTCATTTTGGACTGTGTAACCTTACAATTTTATTGGTTTGGACCACTAAACTCGCTTTACTATTCATGTACTTTATTCTGGTGAAGATATATGTCCTACATATAGACGGAAAAGTTCACGTGTACACAAACCAATTTGATTGAGATTGTTGATGAGTGTTGAAGAAGTTGTTTGGGGTGGTCCAAGCCGAAAAATTTATAAAGTTACCCAGTCCAAAATAAAAAGATTATTTTAAAGGAGGTTCAAAGGGAAACTTGGATAATAAAATATGACCTAAATCGCAATTCATACGCATGCTACACTACCTTGAAATTAGTTCAGAGTTTTAGGATTTTCATGTTCAGGTCTACACAGAAGATCGACCTGTTGCTGTGATGAGATTATCATTGTGTACCGGTCACCATGCTCCGCAGTTTCTGCCGGCACGACAGGCCACCGCGTCCGGTCACCGCGTGCCTCCGGCTCCATGACCAGCTGGATTTGGCCAGCCATCATCCTGGTCCCTCCTCACCCCCACCTCTAGCAGCATGCCTTGGCCAAACAGACATGAGCACCGTCCTCCCCACGTCCAGTAGCGAGGCCCCACACAAAATCCGCCGTCTTCTCTGGTATCGTCATGGAATGACTGTCGAAGCCGATGCACACGTCGGCAATGGACTTTTGCCTTTCAAGTCACGCGAGGTGTTTGGCGTCCTGCTTCTCAGCCACAGACCGCTGCGGCTGCCGGTGGCATGGTAGCCGGTGACGTTGCTGCGGCAGCATAGGAGGGCAGCGAGCACGTCCTTGCGGATGAGTGTTTCATGTAACGGACTCAAATTTCAGGGAAAATTTTTTTGCGAAATATTTTAAGTCATGTTCTTCTTGATTTTTCCGTTGGAGTGATCTTGCCTTCTCTTAATTTCTTTTAACTTGGATTTAAAGTTTATTTGCAAAGTTAATCGCTCTCTTTTAAATTCTACAAAACCTCTCTATCTCTAACTTTGGCTCTAGATTATATTCCCTTTGACTCCTTTACTGAACATCTCCAACATCCACAAATATCCTTTCATCTCTAGAGCATATGAAATATAAATCTCTATCTAGAGTTAACACCTTTTCATTTAGAGCTTACCACACTACCACCAAATCCAGTTTTATCTTCCACAAAATACTTCCCCTTTGATCTCTACCCAAATACATGAAATACCAATTCTTATTTTCCCCAGAACCAATACCTCTCCTTTGGATCTCCACCTAAATATTCCCATAGTCCATAAAATATCCTTTTCAATCTCCCTGAGTCAATATACCAATCCTTTAGAAGTATATCAATCTACCACAAATTTCGTTCCTATAGAAATTCCTATCCACATATATTTCTGAATCCAGTGCTATACTCCCACAAATATTTCCCCTTTGAAATCTCGTTCATCTAAATTATCCATTCAAGATTTCACAGTCCACTATTTAGCTTGGGCCAATAATTCCCTGATTGACCTGACTCTTTGTTATATTCCCTTAACCATTTTATCCTTGGGGCTAAAGTCCTATTTGCTTCCCTTCCATCTATTTTGCCACCATCCTAAATTTATCCAAAGTTAGAAGTTAAATTATTGCCTTTCCTTCCCGTTTGATTTTTAAATCTTTCGTGACAAGTTTTACATTTGGTTCTTATTTGAACTCTATTAAAATTGGAGCATTTCGATTCTTCATAAAGTTTATACTTCAAAGCAGATATCTTTGATTTTATTTTAAAAATATTTCAAACTTCTTTTTCTTTAAAAACTTTATATTTAAATTCTTTCTATAAAGTTCAAAAGACCCCCAAACTTTCCTCATTTAAATTTTATCTCATTTAAAATCCAACATTCAAAATTATTTGAATTCTATTTAAATTCTTTGACCAAGATTCAAAAAGTCCACATCCCCTCATCCCTTAGATTTCATCTCCTTTAAATTCTACTCAAAACCCTCTACACAAAATTCCTAAGAGTTCCCATTCGAATTCTTTAACCAGAATCCAAAGGTTCACAAATGACCTCCTTTGAATTATCATCATCTTTGAATCCTATTTTTTTAAACTCTCTTTGATTCTATTTCCTTGAAATCTATTCAATTTCATCCATACAAAATAATCAAAAGATCCTGTTCTTTTGGGCCAAAAACCCCTTTCTTTTGGCCCATTCCTTTTTCCTTCCACTTTTTCCTTCTTGGACTGCCGGCCCAGCCGAGCCGAAGCCCAGCCGAGCCGGCCAACCGAGCCGCTCCTCTTTCTTCCTCCTGTGGGCGCACTTGGCGCACGCACATGGCGCCGCCGCCGCCCAGCCAGTCCGACGCCGCCACCTTGCCGTGCCGCCCACGCCGTCGCCTTGCCGTCACTGCCAAGAAACCACCATCGACGTCATCCGCCACCTCACGCCGCCGACGTCAGCCGCCGAACCGAACCGACATCACCAGCCAATCAGCGGACAGAGCTGGCGCCGTGCTCCACTTCTCCACGCCGCCGTCGCCGAGTTTTCCTTGTTTTCCTCCTCCGCAACCGTCTTACGCCACCGCCTCTCGTCGCCTATAAATAGACGACGATGCCCTCTATTTTTCCCACACATCCGAGCTCTTCTTCTCTCTCTCCTCCCATGACCGACCGATGCCCGCCACCGGCCGATCTCCTCCTCTGTTGCTTCCCTGCCTATTCCCTTTCACCATAGGCTTTGCCTCACTCCGTTGATTCCATTTTTCCTATTTTACCCTCTCCTTTAGCCACTTCCACCAGCCACCACCGGCACCACCATAGCCGGCCGGAGCTGAGCTCTTGTTGTTGCCGTTCCGGCCATCCTCTTTTCTCCCTATGTCTTCCACCGACCTTCCCGGATGCGCAGCGAGCGGGAACACGCTTGGCCGCCGCCGTCGAGGCCGTTCAACCACCGAAGCACCGGCGCCCTGCTCCTCTTCCTCTCTGTTGTTGCTCGGGAGAAGAAACAGAAGGAAGGAGAGAAGAACGGGAGGAAGAAGAAGAGACATATGACAAGTGGCCTCTGCACAGTAACTTTTCTCTTTTATTTGATTTTAATTCAATTTCAATCTTTAGACACCCATATCTTTCCAACCACAAATCTAATCCCCGTGAACCTTTGATCGAAATTCATTTAATTTCAAACTCTCCTTTTTGATACCAAATTTCCTATTTTAAAATTTTATTTTAATATCTTTTTGATTTATCCTAAATCCCTTTAATTTTAAATTTCTTATTTTATTTAAAAACCTTTTTAAAATTAAATTATCTTTAAATATCTTTTCTTTATTTATTTAATTACCTTTTCTTTATTTCTTTTAATACCATTTTTAAATTCTATCTATTTAAAAACCCTTTTTGAATTCAAATTCCTTTGATTTATTTAAATACTTCTTTTTATTTTTAAACCATCCTTTAGCCACCAAAAAGCTGTCGTGGGAACTTTACGCCTTCCATGGATGTAGGATCAAGGAGGCCGACTAGAGGGGGGGTGAATAGGCGGTTTTAAAACTTAATGGCACTTAAACAAAACTAATCTAAGTTGCTAGGCAAGGTGAGGTGCAAGGTTAACTAAGCAACTAAGTTAAGTTTTGCAAACCTAGGTGATATGGGCTCAAATATGTCTCTATGAATGTAAATTGCACAAATGTAAATGCAACAAATAAATGAGACAAGAGACAAGGAATTTTTCACCGAGGTTCAGAAACTCGCCGGTTTCCTAATCCCCGTTGAGGCGAGCCCAACTCCACCGCTCAACCACGAAGCCACCGCACGCCCCCTTCGTCAAGGGGTGGGCAAGGTGGGAGCCGGCCCACGGAGAGGACTACCCAAGCCTTGATCACTAGGGTAGTTCTTTCTTCACTCCGAAGGTGGTGAACTCCAAACCACTCACAAACGGCGCCGGGCCTTCTCCACAATCTCCTTGGAGAGGTCACCGGGCAACACCTCCACAAGCCGTCTAGGAGGCGGCAACCTCCAAGAGTAACAAGTCTAGGATGCTTGCCGAGGATGATCAAGTGCCACACTAGCTATAACAATGAAGCAATGCACTTGGATTGGCTTAACTCACTCTCTAACACCTCACTAGATAAACTAAGTGCACAAGGGTGTGAGAGCTTTTGCAAGGGTTCAAGATAATGCAATGGAGTGCCAAAACCTTACCCTTGCTGCTGGGGAGTGGGTATATATACCCCCAACAACCAAAACTAGCCGTTGGAGTCGAAATACCCAACTCTGTGCTCCGCCGGTCAGACCGCCATAGAGTGGCCGGTCAGACCGGACTACTATGTAACGGCTAGAAAACTAGCCATTACAGGGCAATCATTGAGCCCACTCAACCTGGCCGGTCTGACCGCAGTGTAGCGGCCGGTTAGACCGTCCACGGCTCGGTCAGACCGTCATCGGCTCGGTCTGACCGGTTGCGGCTCTAGCGGCTCTGTATCGCCACCAAAAAACAGACCAGTGCAACAGACCAGTGGAGCCGGTCAGACCGGCCTTACCAGGTCGGTCAGACCGGCTAACAGCCCCAGTCAGACCGACCTAAGGCCCACTGTCAGACCGCAGGTCACTTTTCAGCACAACCAACCGTTAGTAAAACGGCGATATCTCTTGACTCGGGTCTCGGAATTTGACGTTCTTGGACTCTATGGAAAGCTTATTCAAAGGGCTATCGAACCCATGAAAAATCCATCCAAGAAACATAACTTAAGTCAAGGATAAATGGCTCACACTCCAAAGGATATCCACCGGACATACCCACAAGATGTCACTCACTCCTATTGGACATGCCCACTTCTCTCTTGGTTTAGGACTTGAGAAAACTCATCACACTTGGTTAGATAAGCCCACAAAATGCACCTACATGCATATGAACTAATATGGCACATGATCATCCACAAGCTCGCTTCATAGACCCCTCTTGATAGTACGACGTCTATCTAGCAAATCCGGTCTACACCAAACACCAAGACCGGGAAAAGACTAAGAAAATATTCTTAGCTACATTATACCTTTGCCTTGCGCCATCCATCTTGGGGTCAAGCTTGAGCCGAGATCAACACTTGTGACCATCCGGTTGAACCATGTTTATGCCGAGGTCTTGTCCATACTTTGTCAAGACTTTATTCTCATCACAAGCTTGACTTCATTCTTGCCAACATGACGATGTCTTTGGCTTGGCGACCACTAACCCATGGTGTCATTCATTAGCCTTATCGTAATGGGACCTATTCCTTTTCACACCTCAAAGGAGAACATTAGTCTCAACAAATCGGTTGTCATCCTTCACTTGATGACCAACCAGTTGCATATGAAAGATATGGATATGTTTGTTGAGTATTCGTTAACATCACAAGTGTCATATACTCGTATGCAAGCTCAAGTGCAAAGATCCGATATAAATAATAGGTGAACAACATGGATCTAGAACATGCACAATAAATGTATAGGATTTGCTCCCCCTAAATATATGCATACAAATAAATATACAAGAGATGCAAGTGTATGCATAATTAGAGAATGACCAATGGGGGTTTATCCTATACATATAGAGAAGGCATATGTAGTAATGATGTAGACCAACATAAAACATATACCTTCATGATCTCCATGTTCTCAATGTAAATGAGACTAAATAAGATAAGACTCGAGTAAACATTAGTCTCACACTTATATATCAATAATATAGAAATCATATATATGAACCTATCAAAAAGTAGGAGATAAGAAGTGGTACATATCGTTTTATCTCCATGTATTTCATCCTTGTCATGATTAAGGTCCATCACAAAAGAATGCATGTCTTCCACATCTCATTATCGGGAAATAACCTAGTAGACAACTTATGCAAAAGAGAGGTTAATCCCATAAACATCGGTTTATCATCTATCACCAAAGTAACAATTACACAAATTGTTTAATCCAAGATCTTTCAATCTTTTCTCTCTTTGGTGATGGATAATAATCCGATATAAACAATATAGAGAGATGAGATGAAAAATGATTTCAAATCAAGATAGAAATCTTATAATAAACAAAATATAGAATAAGCTCCCCCTCAAGATGTGCATACATATGGATATGAAGGAACGCATATGCACATAATCAATAAAGATCAAATAGGAAGCTCACACTATATTTTGGATCCACAAGAGAGACCAAGTTAGAATATGTGAAGTTTAATGCATACCTCTCATCATTTTTACTTTCATATCCAAATAAGACTAGTCAAAGAAAGGCTCATAAAAACGTTAGTCTCATATAATTAGATTTGTCATTAATCACCGAAACCAAATTAAGGCATTTAAACTTACAATGGAGACGTTCGCGTGACCTTAAACCCCGACGTCAAACCGTTGGTTGTAAAACTCGGCACAGCTTAATCCTAAGGTCGAAGTTTTGCTCTTCGCACCCCACGCCTCGACGCGTATAGTGGTCAGAGCCTCATTATTCCCTCGACCTCCACAACACGTCGCACACTAGCTTTGGGCTTTGTGCGATCCTAACCACTCTGCTGCCACTCACAGCAATGGAGTAACACTCCCCATCTTGCAAACCAACACAAATTTTCTTAACTCCCTAGTCGTTGTGCTGCTTAACTATAGCATCGACTAGACGAGCCCATATTTAGCCGTTATGCTACCAACCTTAGCATCGGCTATCCACTCCAAATATCTAGCCGTCGTGCTACCCTACTCTAGCACCGACTAGAAACCAATCCACCAAATAAACCCCACCTATCCAAAATTATCCTTTCTTTGATTTTATTCAATTTCCAACCTATAGAAAGCATCACATCTCTTTTCTTCTTCAAATTAAAAGTTTATTTTAAACCCCTTTCCTTTTTCCTCTCGCCTCGCTCCAATTTTATTTATTTCTTGGCTTTATCGTTTCTTTGTAGCAATTTGCTTATAGGCTTTATTTGCTATCTTTTTGTATCCGTAAGTTAGACCATACAACAAGTTCTATCAGCATCCAAGGAGCTGACGTGGACCCAGATGGCTATGCTGAAGCCGCGGGAAATCTCGAGGCGCAAGGCAAGACATAACTAAAATTTTGATCATATAGAAACCTTGATATAATCTCCATATTTAAATTTGATGCATGATATTTGCTCTTTTAACATCTCGTGGGTAGATGTTAAATGCTTTTAAGCATGATTACATGATATTATTGAAAGATGCATTGGACATCATTTTATGTGGTTTATTATTCAAACATCTTTACAAACTTAGGAATCCGGTTAAAATGGGTATTTTTTGAATGATTATATATGATGAAGTTTGTTGGTGTAGGGAGTTTGGAAAGTTTCGGGTGGTTTAACCGGATTATAATTACCCCCTTATACCATGGAAATGACATAGATGCATCTATCCACACGATCAAGTAATTGGACTTAGCCTAGTACATTGTCCCACTATATGAATGACTGTTGGTTGGCTCACTAGGAGCAGGATTAGGGTGAACGCATGTGTAAGGAGGTTGGGGGCATGGTTCACAACGGTGGAACCCGTGAAAGCAGCGACCAAGTAGCCTTGCTTAGGCCCAGCAAGTGCCCGACTGCTAGGACGGATCAATATCCCACTCGTGCAGTAACTAGTAGTAAGTGGGACCTTCGAACGGCTCTGGTGTCCTCAGCTTTGCAAATTGTTGACATCGTGTGGGTAAAGCTGGACAGTCTCTGCAGAGGTGAATTAAACCATTCGAATGTGCCGTACTCCCGATTCTAGAGTTGTGTCATCAGGGTGATTCCTACTCCTGAAGTATAAGTAGTTTTAAAAATTAAATTGTTGAGGACAAAGATGATTTATGGTTTTTATTATTCCTTTACTTTATTATTGTTTATTTATTCATATCTATTCACCTTTAATTATTTATAATATGTCTTGCTGAGTACATAAGTCTCACCCTTGCATAATTTTACATATAGAGGAAACGTCCTAACAAGGAGATCAGAAGGAAGCAAGATTTATGGCAACGACAAGTTTGTCTAGGCTAGTCTACACTCGAGCTTTTGCCTGTGGAGTTCTTTGAATTCTTTGAAGTTTATTAGCTGTAGCTTTAGTAGTTGAAGAGTTTAGGAGTTTAATAGTTTAGCACTTTGAATTTTCTTGTATTTCAAATAAGGATGTATTAGTTTGGATCTTTTCACCCTTTAACAGTTGTATAATTAGCCTGTATAAATAAATTTGTGCAAATATCGAAAGATGTTATGTATATCAATCTGTGCGTGACCGAAATCCTGGACGATCACGAGTGGATTTTCGGGGCACCAAGCCTAATTTGGGTGTCCCCACATTTCACTAGCCAAAGCACCGGCTTGTTGCTACCCGCTCAAGGGCAGGGCACCACCACCGCATGAGGCATCAACGCAAGCGACACCCCGCTGACGATCGATGGTCGGAGAAGATTACAACTTCTTGTTGATGGAAACTGCTGCTGCTTAATTCCCTCTCCATACAAAGAGGAGGTTTTTAGAGCACCTGTAAATCAGACACCAGTGTAAAAAAAAAGAACAAGTGAAACGACATATATAGATACCCTTGAATCTAACATTCTGTTCTACCATATGATGGATTCTACAAACAAAATATATGGGACCATTAATAAGGCATAAATTAACTGAACAAAATGCATGGAATGTGATATCTGGGCATTTATGTGAAATGAAACAAGTAATTAGTGGTTAATAAGAGAATGTTCAAAATATTAGTAGTGTACTAGGTATTTACCAAATAAAAATTTGGAATTCGCCATATGACATTCCTCGGCTTTCTCTGTCAATTGCAAGTGCCTCCTCGTCACCAGTATCTTTACATGGAGATGCATTCACCGCTGCCACCATTTCAGTAAACTCGTGTATGCCTCTACAGCATCGAGTTCTTTGATGAACAAGCTGAATATACAATTAACACAGTGCAGCTCAGGGAGAGGGGCAAAAGGAGGGAAGTTGGGGCACAAGGATGAAGAGGATTGGGGTTCCCTTAGACTAGAAGGATTGTCGGACCGACGATGGGTGGTGGCGCAATGGTTATATCGTCAAGCATCCATTCTTGAGGGTAATCGTGGGCAACGGGAGGTAGTGAGAGGGATGAGAAACCAAGTGGGTATGGGCTGATGGATGGCTTAGTTCCTATGGATTTGTGTAACCCGTGATCACTTGGTTGCGTAGAGAGCACAACTTCTTAAAAATAGAATGTATCTTTCTCCCTCGTGGTTGTAGAATGGTTGATGGAAGAATTTGAGCATATCCGATGTAAGACTTGTTACACATGCCAAATCAATTTGCAGCTCTGATATCATTTTCTATTGCAGTTCTCAAGCTGGCCTAATATATGGCAAATATAGTGAGTCTAGAAGTTTAGTTGATTGATATTAGCAACACAAATTTTAAGAAAATGTATCTAAAGTGTCTCTAGAGTAAAAGTATTCTAGGCACTTTCTGATGTGTCTCTACACTTCAGAACTCTTTATAATCACCTTAAAAAAAGTGCCACACTTTAATCCCCTCACCTTGAAAAGTTACTCTCCTTGATCCCCCTCTCTTTCTGTGTCTTTTCGATGTAACACAAAGGTAAAGTGGCTTGGGTTCCTTATTTTACGTGCAAGGCTCAATTGCTCTTTTATCTTTTGAACCTGCAGCCACGTAGTTGCATACAGAGCACATCTTCTTGCAGATAGAGCGACGGGTTGCTATACCAAGAGGAGGTGGTAGCATGCTGCCTACTTTACACACACTGAGTCTGATACACACACTACACTGCCTAGAAACCAATTCAGATTTTTAGATTTTTCATGTGTAGGTCTGCACTGCACTTCGACCTGCTGCTGTGATGAGATTATCACTGAGTACCGACCACCTTGCTATGCTGTTTCTGCCAGCACAACATGACACCGCCTCTGGCCGCCATGCGCCTCCGGCTCCATCACCAGCTGGATTTGGTCAGCCATCATCTTGGTCCCTCCTCACCCGCACCACCAGCTACATGCCTTAGCCATGTAGACATGAGCACCGTCTTCCCCACATCTAGCGGCGAGGCCCCACGCGAACTAACAGTGCAAGCCAAGGAAAGGGGCAAAAGAAGGGAAGTTGAGTCGGAAAGATGAAGAGGATTGGGGTTCCCTTAGATTACAGGGACTACCGGACCGATGGTGTGGCAATGGTGATATCGTCAAGCCTCAATGCTTGAGGACGAGGGTGGGCAACAAGAGGTAATGAGAGGGAAGAGAAACCAAGTGGGGACTGGATGATGGTTGGCTAGTGTCACGCTTTCATGTTATAAAGTGAATCCTGGTAGAGCATATGTAAAAGCTCTCAAATAGAGCCAGGAAAACTTGTGTGATTGCTACGCTAAACTATACTCTTTTTCTCCTATATTTCAATCCTTCTAGATGTTGGCACCACTATTAGGATGAAATTTCCTATGAGTCTATATGCGTGCTATGCATACATATTGTTGTGTGTGGTGATTACACGTCCTTTGCTTGCTTACTTGCGTGATTGCTACGCTAAACTATACTCTTTTTCTCCTATATTTTGATCCTTCTAGATGTAGGGACTCTATTAGGATGAAATGGCCCGTGAGTCTATATGCGTCCTATCCGTACATATTGTTGTGTCTGATGGGTACATGTCCTTTGCTTGCTTAGCAGTGTGTACACGTGTAGCTATCTTCTCTAGTATTTTGATCGATCACATAAATATGTAAGGCAAACTATTAGAATAAAATATCTTTGATTGTGTGTGTGGGTGTATGTGCCTGCTAATGATATGTGTAAATTTGAGGTGCTATTGTTAAGGCACCAAAGGTTCACTTTCACCATCCTTTCATTTGGACTGTGTAACCTTACCATTTTTTTTTGGTTTGGACCACTCAACTCTCTTTACTATTCATGTACTTTATTCTGGTGAAAATATTTGTTCTACATATAGACGGAAAAGTTCATGTATATACCAAAACCAATTTGATTGAGATTGTTTATGAGTACTGAAGAAGTTGTTTGGGGTGATCCAAGACGAAAATATTATAAAGTCACCCGGTCCAAAATGAAAAGATTATTTTTTAAGGGAGGTCCAAAGTGAAACTTGGATAATAAAATGTGACCTAAACCACAATTCATACACATGCTACACTGCCCTGAAGATCGACCTGCTGCTGTGATGAGATTATCACTGCGGACTGGCCAACATGCTCTACAACTTCTGCTGAAACGACGGGCCTCGGCTCCATCACCAGCTGTATTTGGCCAGCCATCGTCCTGGTCCCTCCTCACCCCCACCTCCAGCAGCATGCCTTAGCCAAACAAACATGAGCACCGTCCTTCCCATGTCTAGCGGCGAGGCCCCACGCAAACTCTGTCGTCTTCTCCAGTGTCATCACGGCGTGGCTGCCGAAGCCGATGTACACGGAAGCAATGGCCTTTTGCCTTTCAAGCCACGTGAGGCGTTTGGTGTCCTGCTTCTCAGCCACAGACCACTGCATCTGTCGGTGGCATCATCGCCGATGACATTGCTTCGAAAACACAGGAGGGCAGTGAGCATGTACTTGCGGATGAGGGTTTCGTTAGCCAAAGCGCTGGCTTGTTGCTACCCACTCAAGGGCAGGGCACCACCACGCAAGCGACTCCCCGCCGACGATCGATGGTCAGAGAAGATTACAACTTTTTGTTGATGGAAACTGCTGCTGCTTAAAATGGTTGGCTAGAGTCGTGCTTTCTTGTTATAAAGAGAATCTTGGTAGAGTACATGCAAAAGCTCTCAAATAGAGCCAAGAAAACTTGCGTGATTGCTATGCTAAACACTATTGTTTTTCTCCTATATTTCAATCCTTCTAGATGTGCGGACCACTAATTGGATGGAATAGCCCGTGAGTGTACATGTGTGATGTGCGTGCGTACAGATGTGTCCGTTGTGTACATGTCCTTTGCTTGCTTAGCGTTGTGTACACGTGTAGGCATCTTCTATGTAATCGGAAAAAAGTGGTTTCTTTTTTAATTGCATATGCACCGCTTAATTCCATGTCCTCTGGATCTTTGTAACCTTTGGCAACTTTGTTGCATAGAGAGCACAACTTTTTGCAAATAGAATGTTGGTTTCTTCCTCCTGGTTGTAGAATGGTTGATCGGAGAATTAGAGCATATTTTATGTAAGACTTGTTACGCATGCCAAATCAATTTACAGCTCTTATATCGCTTTCTTTTGCGGTTCTCAAGCTGGCCTAATGTGTGACAAATATAGTCAGTCTGGAAGTTTAGTTGATTGATATTAGTCACACAAGTTTTTCAAAATGTGTCTAAAGTGTCTCAAAAGTAAAAGTATTCTACGCAACTTTTGACGTGTCACTGCACTTCAGAACTCTTAATAATCACCTTAAAATGGTGCTTCTCTTTAATCCGTCTCCTTAAAAAAGTTCCTTTCCTTAATCCTCTATTCTTGTATGCATGGCTTTTTGATGTAACACAAAGGGAAAGTGGATTTGGTTCCTTATTATTATACACGCACGGCTCAATTGCTTGCTTAGCAGTACGTACACGTGTAAGCACATTCTATGTAATCAGAAAAAAAAGGTTTCTTTTTAAATTTCAGCTGCACCACTTAATTTCTCAGGATCCGTGTAACCCATGGCCATGGTCACTTGGTTGCGTAGAGATCACGTACAACTTCTTAAAAAAAATAGAATGTCTCTTTCTCCCTTGTGGTTGTAGAATGGTTGATGGAAGAATTAGAGCATATATTGTGTAATGCCAAATCAATTTACAGCTCTGATATCGCTTACACCTGTAGAGGACACGCCAGTGTAATTGTTTTTTTTTAAAAAAAAGTGACACGTCAAAAATGCCCCTTGCGTCTGAAATTCTGTTGCACTAGATGTTGGATTCTTCTACCAAAGGACCTAGATGAGTAAAGCAATAATTGAAGCAGTGTGATCTGTGGGCAGCTGGTAATCAACAAGTAACTAGTGGTTAATTAATGAGAAAATGGTAAACTTTCAGTAGCGTATAAGTTACTTTTTTTTAATAATGAAAATGGGTTACATCTCCGGCCTCTGCCCATAAGCACACAGTCAAAAAGTCCATAAGTGAACAGAAAGAGCTTAAAAAAGGCGAGATGGGACAAACCCTCAACTTATATCAATAATATGATCTACTACAATCATGTTTTTAAAATCACGTAGGTTCTATTACGAAATTATGTAGGTACTACACCATCCAAAGTGGAATAAAAGTTTCTTTTGCTACTAATTTCAAGCGCGTAGCATCATTGCGCATAGTATCATGTTATTTCTGAGAAAGCATCACATATCAAGAGTAGAACTAATTGAAACAAATAAATATAATCTGCATGATGTTAGACGTATAAGTTACTTGCCGAGTAAAATAAATTTTCGAAATTGGCGTGTGACATTATTTGACTGCTTTAATTCTCTATCCAGCGAAAGCAGCTCACCATCTCCGCTAGATTCACATCGAGATGTGTGCCCCATATCGGCAAGCTCATGTGTACCTCTACATCAAGCACGCTAGATATATTAAAGAGATAATTCATAAAATATCATTGATAAGCGTTTAACTCCTAGAAATGCCATCGATAAGTGTGAGTTCTAAAAAAAATGTCATCGTCGTTAGGGTTCCGTCCATTCCGCACAGTTAAGTTCTATAGGATGAACAATATATTTAACGGCACGGAATGGACGGAACCCTAATGGGGATGGCAATTTTTAGGACAAAATCATTTGTACGATGGCATTTCTTAGAACTCACACTTGTCGATGGCATTTTTAGAACTTAGACGCTTGTCAATGGCATTTTATGGATTATCTATAGATTAAATGGATGTGGAAAAGGGAAGGTGGAAGGGTGATCAGGTGAAGGATGAAGAAGGCTGATGCTCGCTTAGGTTGGAAAGGCTAGGGGATATATGGTGTAGCAGCCAGCGATGGCACGGCGAAGCAGTGGTGCTATATCGTCCGTCGTCAATCCTCTCCTAGCTTTGGAAGAGTGGGGGCCGGGGACAGAGGGTGCGAAAGGGATGATAAAAGTTAGTGGCTATGAGACGATGGTTGGCTATGACTATGATACACGCGTTGCCGTTCCCCTTGTTCGAAAGAGAATGATGGTAAAGCATGAGTAGAAGCTTTCAGTCAACAAGACTTAGATAAATATTATGATTTTCGTAGCACGCCTTTTAAACTGCTAAACGATATGTTTCGTATGAAAACTTTCTATATGAAAGTTGCTCTAAAATATTATATTAATCTATTTTTCAAGTTTATAATAATTAAAACTCAATCAATCATACGTTAAAACCACCTCATTTTGGTAATAACTTAATCTTCATCTTCATCTTTATCTTTACGAGAAAAGAATACACCGTAAAGAAAAGTCGTGTGATGCGTACTTAAATTTGTATTGCTTTTCTCTTATTTATAATCCTTCTAGAGGTAGGTGCCACTAGCTAGTACAATAAAATAACCCGTGAGTGCAAATGTGTGTTTTTGCTTCGTACTGGTTTATCTGATTTGAGATGTAATGCAAATGTGTGTTTATGCTTCGTGCTGGTTTATCTGGTCTGAGATGTGATGTGTCGTGGGTGTGCGTAATAGTGTGTACTACCCTGTACTAGAATATAAGAATCTAATACTGAATGGGACACATCCTAGTACTATAAATCTGGACTGTGGGTTAGTATAGGTTCATATGTCTTATCCTATACTAGATTCTTATACTCTGGACGGAAGGAGTAGCTTTTTACGTATTTTCCATGTAATTTGAAAAAAGAAAATCATTCTTTCACATGCACAACTCAATTCCTCATGATCTTTGTAACATGTAACCGCATAGCCTGAGTTCTTACCCTAACTTTTCCATCTCACATCCATCATTTTCACGCACATGCTTTTCAAACTGCTAAACGGTACTTTTTTGCAAAAATTTTCTATACATAAGTTATTTTCTAAAATCATATTAATCTATCTTTTTAAAATATAGTAAATAATTAATTAATCATGAGAAAATGTGTCGCTCCGTTTCGTGTGCACAGGAGGTGAGTTCTCAACCTCATCTCCTAAACACATCCTTAGATGCGATACTATACTTTAGAGTATACTTTATACCCTAAATCTGGAATCTAATCTTTCATAACGTGAATATGTGTGGTGTTAGTAGACTGACAGAGTAAGCTATAAAGCTAGAAAAAAAAAGATACATCTACGAGTGGTTCGACTTTTTACTAAGCAAGGACGAAGCCGTCGAGTGAAGCTTTTAGTGATTTGGAGGGTGCCTCTCGTGGGCATATTGCAGATAGAATGCTGCTTATCTATCGTGCGTGGTTTTAGAGAGAAGATTGTTGGAAAATCAGGGGACCAGTGCCCCTGGAGGTTATCTGCACAGAAAAATCAATTTTTCTGTGTGGACCACTTAACACATCCGCATGTGAAAATAAGACTATTTTTGAGTGTGGACGTGTTAAGTGGCCCGCACACGAAAATAGTCGCCCACCATTTAATCCGGCTGTGCGCCCGCTCCTCCCTCTCCCATCTCGCTCGCCCATCTCCTCCCTCCTCCCAAGCCGCCTGGATCCGGTGGGCGGGAGCGGCGACCGGGAGTGGCGTGCGCGTGGTGGCGGACGACCGCCCCCCACATCCATCGGTGATGGCGGGCAAGGGGAAGACCGGATCTCCCTTTTATACTCCCTTTGTCGGGAAGACCGCCCCCCATATCACATTTTTTTTTTAAAAAAAAAGAGGGCAAAAGCCAAGATATCATAAATTCGTATTAACTGGTGAAAAAGGATGGCACAGCAGTACACACAGGGGAAGTAATAGTATTCCAATAAATAACCAACCACTGATTGTGTGGTTACGACAGGAATTAAATTTGAAAATATATGGTTGATTTGTCATTTTCTCAAAAATATTTGGGATGTAATTTTTTTTTTACAGAAATATATCGTCAATCTCGCGCAATCGTTGCGTAAAAACGATTGCGCAAGAATAACATGGGCATGACGATGTGCATGGTCTTGCACGATAGACCGCGCGGTCTCGATCTCGCGCGAGGAAACAGTGAGACCGTTCGGTCTCGTACAGCGAGAGCGCTACAGAGCTGTCGCTCAATTAGTGACTAATTACTCAGTTAAGGATTAATTAAATCCGGCCAGCCATTCGGTCTCGCTTGCTGGTAACGCAGGACCGTTCGGTCCCGCTGTCTCGTCGTACTCAATTAGGGATTAATTAAATCCGACCAGCCATTCGGTCTCGCTGTCTCGTCGGAGAATATTAAACTATATGCCACTTTTTAGATATTATAATTAACTATTTGTCACTGAACCTATATGTTACAGACACATGTGGGTCATGTCATTGAGATAGGTGTGGCAAATAGTTAATTGCCAAATCTAAAATGGCAAATAGTTAAATGCCACGTCGAATGTTGTCACGCTTGCACGATACTGCGTGGTTTCGTCCCGTCGTCGTGCGAGACCGCCTGTGTACGTTGTCACGCTCACGTCATTCTCGCGCAACAGTTGCGCGAGACTCACGAAGGTATATTTCTATCAAAACATTTACAACCCAAATATTTTTGAGAAAAAAACAAAGCAACAGTATATTTTTAAATTTAATTCGTTATGACAGCATTGAATACTTACTCAGTCTTATTTTGAGTGCAGCTATAGTTTTTCACGCTCAATTTTGATCGTCCATCTTATTTAAAAAAATTAAAAAAAAAGTCACGAGTACATAATAACAAAAATACTAATTATAAAAAATTTTCAAATAAGACGGACGATCAAAGTTGAGCGCGGAAACTTATGGTTGCATTTAAAATGTGACTAAGAAGCAACAATTAATTATTGTACGTTTCCCAGGTTACAAATTCCCAGCGCGCGTGTTGAGAAAAGATTATAAATACAAGACCAGCTAGCCAAACAGAGTTTGCAGCTGTAGGAGCAATTGGATGGATCAAAATCAACCCATCCCATTCCCAGCCCCACTGAGCACCACCGGCACGGATGCGGATGACGCAGAGCTCCTGCAAGCCCAAGCAGAGCTGTGCTGCCACGCTTGGCGGCACATGGAATCCATGGCCCTCAAGTGCGCTATCGACCTCGGAATCCCCAGCGCCATCCACCGCAACGGCGGCTCTGCCTCCCTGCCCGACCTGCTCGCCACCCTCCCAATCGCAGAGAACAAGAGGCCATTCCTGCATCGGCTCATGAGATTCCTAACTGTGTCCGGGATCTTCACCTCGGCTGATGATGGCGTGTACCAGCTCACGAGGGTGTCTCGACTTCTGGTCGATAGCATCCCGCTCAACCTGCTGCCGTTCGCGAGAGGGGCCGTCAATGAAAACAGTCGGAAAATATCGGAAACGGTATCATTATTTTATTTTTCTTTTCGAAAACGAACGGAAACGGTTAGAAAATTTCTATATTTACAAATTCATCTATTTAGTGTCGACTTCAATGCCACGCTGACAGGAATTAAAAAATACTGAATTTTAAAAAGGGTAACCATTGGTAAAAATATTATTATTATATTAGTTTTGCGGAAACAGTATCGGTACAGTCGGGAAATTTCCATACCGTTTTCACCCGTAATTTCAGGTCATTTCTCTGCTTGGGCGAGTGGTTTCGAGATGGCGGTGATACCACGCCGTTCGCAATGGCGCATGGCATAGATGTATGGGGCGCTATGAGCCTCGATCGAGCTCTTGCAGCGGGTTTCAGCGCGTCCATGGCAGCCGACAGCAAGTTCTTGGCGGAGATAGCCATCCGCAGGCACGTTGAAGCGTTCATGAATGTTAGCTCGCTGGTCGATGTCGGTGGCGGGGATGGCTCGATGGCGAGGGCCATTGTCAAGGCCTTCCCACACATCAAGTGCCTGGTTCTAGACCTACCACATGTTGTCCGTGGCATTCCCGCTGATGGTTTTGTTGAGTATGTTGCGGGTGATATGATGGATTTTGTTCCACCAGCTAATGTTGTGCTACTCAAAGTAAATAATTAAATTGTGGCATGCATGTGTTTTCATATGTTGATTTTTTGGTCCTCTTAGTAAATTGACATATTCAAAATGGAGGTGGATATATAGTGTTGGTGGTAGATGATATGATATTTTTGAAACTCTTTTTTTTTATTACCATCTTCGTCTTTTGGTAAGTTCTTTGAAAAAGAAGAATATATACCCAAATAGTTAGTACTAACTAAAATTGAGACCATTCATATCAGCTTTTCTAACTGAAGTTTTTACTACTTATATTGTGGTGCTAGCTTGTATTACATGATTGGAGTGATGAGGATTGTGTAAGAATCCTGTCAAGATGCAGAGAGGCTATTTCAAATAGGGAAGGAGGCAAAGTGATAATTATAGACACAGTGATTGGATCACAATCTCAACAGATATATGAAGCTCAACTTTTCTTGGATCTATGCATGATGACAGTGACAACAGGCAAAGAGCGAGAAGAGAAAGAGTGGCATATGATATTTCTGAAAGCAGGCTTTACACAATACAAGATTTTACCCATCTTGGGGATTAAATCACTCATAGAGGTATATCCATAATGTTTTGGATAAGACCATTCTTTAAACAAGGTATATATTTAAACAAATACTACAAATACTACAAATGTACATTGTGTAATAAGTAATACAGTTATCTCTCGAGTAATAAGTATGTACATTGTGTGTACTTGTAATGTTATTACAAGATGCTAAATATTTAATGTCGATCTTACCGGCCGGAATCTCATACTTTTAGACTAAGTGTTACCTCAGTTGATTAAATCTGTGCGGTAGAACCTGTTTATCTGGGCTTGACTCATAGACTCGGCACATGTGGTAACATAGGATTAAATTTCATGGGAACATATATATCTTATGCACGCAAGTTTTCCGTGCACACTTCATACACACTAACTAGCAAATGTCACGAAAAAATCTAAAAAAAATGAATATTTACTCCTAATAGTATTACACATATTTACAAAGTCTCATATTCAAAAAATTATATTTTAGCCGTAACAAAAAAAAGTTAAAACTCTAATAGTTTTAAGGGTAAAAATTTGTTAGAATTTTGTTTTTTTTTACGGATAAAATATAATGATTTTGAAAGTAAGATTTCACACGTAGGTGTAATACTACTGGAAGTATGTGTCCAATTGTTTTTAGAATTTTCTGTGACATTTGCTAGTTGATGTGCACAAAAAATTTGTGTGCATAACATACATTTCCAAATTTCATATTGCAATCTATGCACACGTGGATGTGTTCGGATGTCAAAGCATATATGATTGCACTGCGTGAGATTAGACATTTACTCTGAACTCGTAGATCTAGAGGGTAGTTCAAATGGTCCACCGCCCACCTATAAAAAACTCATACTAAAAAAATAAATCATGTATAAAGTACTATTCATGTTTTATAATATAATAACAATAAATGGTTTCGATGTTGGTAAATGTCGGTGTGAATGCGTTCGACTAACATGGGTCGGGTTAGGATAACTATGCCAAGAAGCATATATTTTATCTATTTATATGAAAGTGATTAAGGTCAACCCTAGCCAATACTGACGACCAGGGCTACGCTCAGAAAGAAGAAGAGGAGGTCTAACATGGTAAGGACGCCATGTGACAAGGTTGGATTGAAGTCATAAATCTTAGGAGTAAACCATGGTCAACTACGGATTAGAACTAGAGGAGTTAAGATTCAAAACCACTAGAGATGTCAGGTAACATAAGGTGACACACGATAAACGAACACTGTGCAGAGAGGTCCTCGCAACATGCTTCCTCGCTTATGTGTGCGAGTACCAGTGTACACCAAAAAAAATGGAAGAAGAAATAAAGAAGAGGAAGTGCACTGTTGGAGACACCGTAGCATGCAGAATAAGTTTATTTTGCTTTCCTCGTCTCTTGCTCCTTATTAAATCGTCTCCCTCAACTATAAAACCGGATATAAAGCCTCCTCCATGATTGAAAACCGGTGCAAATCGAATCCTTCAATGGTTTGATAAGCTTTTTTTTTCTGATGTGGCAGGATAATTGTGGATGATTCGCCGAATCAGCAGGTGGGACCCACATGTCAGCAACTCCTCTCTTCCTCTCATACATCACTCTCCTCTATAGATGGCCATAAGGCCCGCGCAGCCCAGGCACGGGCTAGGCATGGCCCGAGGCGATCAAGCCGTGCCGTGCCAGCCCACGGGCTGCCCTCTGGCCTAGGCATGGCCCACCAGTTGTTGGCCCGTGCCGTGCCTGCCCGAAGACACGGCGGCCCATCGTGCCTTCTTTAAAATAAGTTTATTTTACATCCCTACGTTTTGAGCCGTGCCATATAATACGTCTATTTTTCCTCCCTATTCTTTGTGTCGTGCCATACATATGGTTGAAAATAAGTCTGTTTCTCGTCCTTGAACTTTGTGTCGGGCCGTGCCGGCCCAGCTGCGTGCCGAGGTAGTAGCCCAGGCATGGCACGGCTGTTGGGCCGGGCCATCAGGTCTCGGGCCATATAGCCATCTATACTCTCCACTATCTTTCATATCACTTACGAGGCCAGCGGCACAAATCATCCATCCTGCACCGTCGCCGCACCCGAGTTTGAGGTCAGGGGCGACCTAAGCGTCATCTCGCCGTGAGAATGCCGGTGGCAGCAAGACAAACGGGGAAGGGCAGAGAGGGCTCTAGACTCGACGAGGTTGCGACGGGAGCGGGAGCTTGAGGAGGCAGCGGTGGCACGGGAGATCGGGGAGGATAGCACGCCGCCTCGCCTGACGCGGCGGGTGAGGTCTCGGGAAGCTGATCCGATCCCCTCCTATGGGTGTCCATTGTGCCAATTGTTGTCATCCCTGGACTTCGAGAGGTTTTTCGCCATGCTCAAGTAATCTATCGTGTTAGCTGAGCCGGGTGCCTGCTTGTTCTTGCCAGTTTAATTAAGTTTCAGTGTCAAAATTGGGATGAATGCATGAATACGTACACCTCCAGTAATTAAGCTGATCAATCTCATGATTGTGTTTTGTATAGTAGTTTGATGTGTAAGTTACAGTGTTCATTGCTGCATTGTCTATGTTATTTCTGAGTTGATTTACCTACCAATTTGTGATTATATTCGATCTTACATCGATCGGCTAGCTGTTAGTTTTTTCCTTGACGGCGACGAGCTCGTCGAACGGATGGTTGTGGCGAAATCACCGAACCCGGTGTCTCCCACCACATCGTGGTATCGTCGTCGTGAGCTCTAGCATGGGAAACAAGAGTCAGTCCATTTTTTTTTACAATTTTTCATAACTATTTAAATGGATTTTCAGATAAACAAGGAGACATCTCCTTTGAGGTTTTAAACCATTTTTCTCATGTATAGGAAACAATCCTCTTATTCATTACATGTAACTAGTAAGTACATTGCGAACAAACTTCATCAGCTACATTATTTTATTTTCGTGACGATTTATCACCATTACATTCATGAACAGAAGTTGATCACTTGCTTTGCTTCAATATATTTGTTTCTGAACAATATTTTTCAGGCTTCAGCCTTCTTGGAGTCGGAGGCGAAAGAACGGATGACTTCCACCACGCTCTGCAGGTTCTTGTAAGATGATCCGCCGAGGCGTGCCGCCTGCTCCGCCTTGGCCTTCCACCTCGCCGCGTCCTGCCGCATCTCCTCTGACTCCATCACCTGTTTTTTTTTTTAAATTTATGATAAGGAAGATAAGTTTGCATCCCCAATTTCTGCATCTAGGATTCACCTAGCCAGAGATTTTTTTAAAAAAAAACTAGATAATAAGAAAAACAAAAACTCCATAGGACAAATTAACCTCACATAAAATAAACTCGAAAAAGCTAGAGAGAAAAGAAGACACGAGCTAAACAACAACTTCCTCTGGTCATAAATATATTTATTTGATGTTCAGGAGAAGATTCAATCAAACTTTAAAAAAATTGACTACCAATTTCATATTATAATGAGCTTAACATTTTGTAAAATGTTACGATGATTACGATGATTGTACTTTTTGAAGCAAATCTCCACCATCCGTTTTTTTTAAAAAAAAAAATCTAAACATTTGAGAAATTACTTATGGTTTTTTTAAGGAAAACACAGTAGGGGAAATTACTTATGGTTGTCTCAAAAATTCATCCAAATATTTTTGTAGGTATGAAATACTTATGACCGAATCAAGTAATACATCCGTCCAAAATATAACAAACTTTGGTTACAAATCTAAACAATTCATGTCTAAATTTATAGCCGAAAGTTGTTATATTTTGGGATAGAAATAGTAGGATATTGAGAGAACGTTCGTGCTCCATCACCTGCTTGACTTGGGCGGTGACCTGCTCCCGCCTCACCTCCTCATCGAGCCTGAGGCCGACGTCCCATGACTCGCAGGCGTACTTACGGTTGATGTACTGGTCGGCGAACACCGGCCAGCACACCATCGGCACGCCGGAGGCCACGCTCTCGCACTTGGAGTTCCACCCGCTGTGCGTCAGGAAGCACCCCACGGCGGGGTGGCGCAACACCTGCTCCTGCGAGCACCATGTCGCCAAGCACCGCCGGCCGTCCGTCTCCACGACGAACTCCGGCGGTAGCGCGTTTGGGCCACCGGGCACGAGGTTTTCCCTGACAACAAACAAGAACGGGCAGCCGGTCGCCGCGATTCCCCACGCGAACTCGGCGAGCCGCTCCGGCGTCATCACCGTAGCTGCCGAAGTTGACGTACACGGCGGAGCGTGGCTGTTGCGTGTCCAGCCACGCGAGGCACTCGGTGTCCTGCTTCCACAGGCTCAGCCCGCCGCCGATGGCGTCGGCGGCGTGGTTGAGGAGGGTTCCCAAGGGGCCAATGGTGTAGATGCGTGCGTACTCGGCGCGGAGGGCGGCGAGGACGTCGGCCTCGAGTTCGTCGAAGGTGTTGAGGATGAGGGCGTTGGCTTTGGTGCAGTTGTTGGCCTCCTCCTCGTTGAAGCGGAGGCCGAAATCGTCAGGGTCGGTGGTGCGAACAAAGCTGGACATATCACCGAGTTTTATGGGCGGCATGCCGGGGATCCAGTCGATGACCGTCCTTTCAAGGTGGCCATTTGTTAGCATGCTCTCATCTGCAAAATGGAAGGAACTTTGATTCAGATCAGGGTTCAAAATTCCGGAATAAAATTTTGGAAATTTCGGGTCTATCACCCCCGCCCTCCCCCCTCTACGAAAATATTTCGCCAGAAATTGTTGGACTGTTTTTCAATTTCTGTGAATTTAGCTCGTTGTATTTAATTTTTACCAAATTTTGTTCAAAATTTTAAAGTATTTCGGACCAAAATTACCAAAATTTTTGTGTCCCCCTGATAGAAATAGGCTAAACAATTTGCCATACCCTGATTCAGCTACTAGTTTTTTCATATTAGTCACCAACCGTGGCCCATGGGTTGCACGATTATTATTATTATTATTGTAAATATTTGTATAATCATATATAAATTTATTGTTCTTTTTCTATAAACTACAGTGGCTTAAATGAAAAGAAGGGTCCACCTCAATCGTAACTTAACACTGTAATTATTAATTTTGCAATTTTATTAAATTATTAAGATACTAAATTGAGTGTCCAAGATGGGATATCAATTTATTTCAAATTTAGGGATCACAAATTTTTGAAATAACTTAAACTAAAGAATCTATGATGATAAAAATTAAAATATTTTATATAGCCTATTTTATTTAACCTCAAATTTGAAACAATTTACAATATTGATAATTTAATTGAACAAACCAATGGTTACCAGATATTTCTGATTATAACTCTATTTGAGAGTACTCAAATAATAATATTGTTACATACTCCTTTTGTAACAAAAAAATCATTTTTTTCTATATCCCGTTTGTCTGAAAAATAAATTTATTTTTAAGCCATCATTATATGGAGTTAGTAAAAGTAGGGGACAAATGAATTGATAATATATAATTCTTCCAACTTCTTCTACTCTACTCTCTTCTTATTCTAGTATACAATATAGTACAATAGAGCCTCTTATAACTCAGCTCAAGCTTGGAAGTGTGTGTGTTAAGTGAGGGAGCGATGTCTTTTTATAGAGGTAGGTATGACGGTTGGCGAAGGGGAAATGTCCGAAGTGCCCTCCAACCGTCATCAGGGATGCATCTGGGACGTCCACGCCAAACCCCACATCCAACGGTGGAGATGATGGTTCAGCCGAACCTGGGCTGGGCCCTCCTAGCCTGGTCTTCGGTCGGTGGACTCCCTAGACTCTCCTCTGTCCATATCTCGGAGTTTTGGGTTGATTCACTGATGTTTTGATGAAGTTCACAACTCCTCCTTGTATATATACATAATTCTCCTCACTTTAGCCTAGATTTCCTCCCAACATCGGGTTTTATCACCTGCATATACATATACACCAACACTTGTGAAATATGTGAGATTAAACACATATCACTATGTTGAATGTTTTATTATCTGAATTTTATGCAGATGTTGGCGGTATAGAATTGGCATTTAACAGACGCCAACACTATCTAGGTGACATGCAAGCAATGAGGGGACATCCTCACGAGAGATGAAAATTCATCTCCAAATAGAAAGACCTCTAAAGCACTGAAAAATAATTCAAGGAACGTGATCTGAAGGTACTTATGTAAAAGGACAAAAGTAACTAGTGGTTAATAAGAGAAGGGTGAAGTTTCAGTAGCAATGTATGGTATTTACCAAACAAAAAACTGAGACTCGGCGTCTAGAATTCGACAACTTTCTCTATTCATCCCTAAGCGTCTCCAGTCCCCTCTCCACTAATACGAATGCTCCAACTCCATCTACGAAAATTCATATGTGCCCCCTACATCACCGTGTCTCCTCTAATTATGGGATGCTCTGGACCTGCAGACTGCAGTAGGGTAGCGAGATGTAGTTGGAGCCACAGGCTCAGGGGGCAAGGCTGAGGGGATGATGGACGACGGCTGCTGGAGAGGAATGATAGAGGCAAGAAGGCGATGGATGGTTATGACACCTTATGGGTATGACCCTTTCCCTTTATAAAGCGAGTGCCTACACATGGAGTCGATAAATGTCACGCGATGCATGTCTCTCTAAAGTATCTCGACCCTTCTTCTTAAGTTTTACGGCCCGCTAGTAAAAAAAATATTTATATGTGTGTGTTTTGTGCGTTCACAACGGTGTGTGTGCCTGCAGATGGTGCATATGTGTTGTAGAATAAAATTACTTCTAATTAATACAATTGGTGTTATATATGTATGCTAGACTTATCGATTGACGGCTTGTTTGGCAAATATGCATGGAGAGTAGTGTCATACTAAGAGTTTAGTTGAGAAAGGCGGAATTAACCGTCAGAGTCAATATGTGATATATTACTGTACAAACATTCAAGTTTACTTCAAGATAAAAAGAAATCTGGTTATGAAAGGGACATATTAGAACTTGATTTGTTTAAAAACTTGTATATACCTACATATTTGTTGAGTCTATTAATTAATACCTAAATTTGGCGCCATATTGTACCTGGATTAAAGTTGAAAGATTCATTTATCACATATTGATCATGTTATTATTTCTTTAGAATTTTTTTTATAATTACTACCTCTGTTTTTTAATGTATGACGCCGATGATTTTTTATCAACTTTTGACCATTCGTATTAGTCAATTTTTTTCGCAAATATAAGAATATTTAAACCAATGGCTATTCTCCATAAAAATAAGTTGTTTTACATAAAACAGTTGTATATTATGATATGTTATCTAGTACTACCTCCGTTCTAGAATATTTTATCTGGACATGGATGGGTCCCATCTCATCCTAGGTTGGGATATTCGGGATGGATGGAGTAGTATATATATTAATGTCATTTTTTATTTTTTTCGCTAATTAAAGTTAAAAAATATTTGAGTTTGCACTATTAAAAATAGTTATATCTTGAAACGAGGAGAATAGCTAGCAAAGACATGAGCTATCAAGCGCTTTCGGTTCGGAGCTGAGCACTTCGACTTCCACTACAATGACTATTTATTTATATAAATATGCAAAACAATTGAACAGAATCCATTGTCGTCTAGTCCGGTTAGGATACCTGGCTTTCACCCAGGCGACCCGGGTTCAAATCCCGGCAATGGAACAAACTTTTTAGAATTTCCTTTTGGTTTGTTTTCACCTTCATTTCTCATCGCAACTTCAGTAGACAAACATTAAGAATATTCTTATGGTTTAAAAATATTAAGATTAATTTTAATTACAGACTTTTATTTTATTTTGACCCATTTCACCTTCATGGAACTTCAGTACACAAAATTTAAGATTTTGATTAGAGAATGTTTTTTTTTTCGTTTTGATTTATTTCACTTTCATGATTCTTGGCAACTTCAGTAGATAAAATATTAGGATAAGTCCATGTAACCTCATCCACTAACATGCTTGTCATACTGGGTTTTAGAGTTAAGGGATGTTTTTGCACACGTGATAGTTGGGTGATAAGATTAACTACAATTATTTAGCGACTAATGCTGCCTTGCTAGCTTCCTAATGGAAGTATGGACACTACTACAGAGAGGCAAATAGGGTCTGCAGTATAGGTGACAGAAGTGGTATAACTGGCATCTATAGTGCTTTTCCACCCACGCGCCCATCCACGCGGCCACCAGCCCGCCAAATCGCTAAGAACCGGCACCTTTCTTCCCAAATAGGTTTTGGTTTTTTAAATACAACCGGCACCTATTCCTCTATCCGAGAGAGGTGTCGGTTTTGCACTTAAATCTGGAACCTTTATATTTGTCATCCCGTTAGAGTATGTCAGAGACATGTGTCGGTTCTTATTTAATAACCGGCACCTTTGATGGTGTCAGAGATTTATGACAATTATTACTTAATAACCGGCATCTTTGACCCTGCACCCCCTTAACTAGCCGTTGGGGGGACACCTTACTTAAAAACCGGCATTTATATGATACTAAAATGTGTCAGTTGTTATAAAGAACCAGCACCTCGGCACCTATTAGTACAGCCACGTGGCTCTTTAGGTTAGAACTGGCACGACATCTATTATCCTTATAGGTGTCGATTCTGAAATCAGCACCGATAGATGACCAAGTCATTAGTGTCGCTATCTAGGTGCTGGTTTCCAGCACCTAATGGGGTTTTCCAACCGGCACCTATCCAGCCTTATGTAGTAGTGGGAGTACACCATTCATTGAGCCTAGCTAGCTTATGGTCTTGTGCTAATGCAGCCAATCATGGTCTAACAAGTTCAGCTACATTTACCATCGGAATCTCGATGACTTGGATGTCAATGGGTCAATAAAGAGCTGTCAGCTATGAGTGGTTGCTTGGATCTTTAAAATTAAAACACCAGTTTTAGCGAAAACATAATTTTGTGCTGATGATGATAAAGCCAGTTTTAGTCAATATTATCTTTTCAGTATGCATTTATCTTTATTCCTCCGAGTGAATTTGGTAGCTAGCTATGGCATGTTCTGTAAGCCTCCTCTCTCCAACCCTCACAAAGTGTTGGCATTGTCGAGTGGACCAACTCTTGCTTTTGTTCCTATAAAGTTATGTTTAATATAATAGGAATAAATTTTATATAGGACTATATAAGATTATACTATACTGAGATCAGTACAAATTAATGAGAGCGATCATCATTTTATATTTACTCCCATGCATAGACGGGTTTCTGTACCTCTCATCCAAACCACATAACACCTCTCTCCCCCCTCCCCCTTCTCTCTTTTTCTCATCCTCACACCCTTTCTCCATATTCTCCCTCCTCAGATCTGGCTAGAGCGATTATTGCGACGGTTGGTGCTACGGAGCTCGAGCGTGGCGGCACAGCTCAAGCATGGTGATGGATCCCTGATCGAGAAGCCGTGGACTTGTCGGATTCGCGGTAGGTGAAGTGGATCAACGCAACTGAGGCGGCATGGTGGATCGTGAAGTAGAGTGACTAAGGCATGGGGTCGCTAGATCCGATAGTATTGAGGCACGAGAGCAGCGAATCTAACACTTGCGAGGCGAAGGAGTAGTGGATCTGTAGCAGCGATCGAGATGCAGGAGATGATGTTTCTAGCGGCAACGAGTATGGGCTAGAGGTATGGATCTGGTAGGACTGCAACTCATGTGATTTTTCTTGTTTGGTTTTCTTGAGGTTTCTTGTGATATAAAAATGATTTTTGTGGATATCCAAATAATACTCCAATGGCACCTCATTGGCTAATATCATGTACCAGACCTGATATCCAGGTATCACAGTCGATACCTATAGTTATCAGCCTCACAGCCTAGTACCTACAGATATAGCAGGTACCTAGGTACCAAGCACCCCTTAGGTGAGGACATGATTCATTCACTTTGCCATCACCTAGAGAGTACTTCGTCCTCTCCCTCAATTTGATATCGCGCATTAGCATATTACATTATATATGTGTAAGATTTTTGTTGTTGTCTAAGATGTTTTGCACTTATTCTTAGGTTAACAACTGGCACCCATCCTTGATTTAAAAAAATCCATCAAACACAACTTTCTGCCATGTTCGGTTTCTCTTTCTCTGCCTCCCTATGCTTGTTTGTTTTGGCTCACCCACACCATCATCGATTTCCTATAATACAACTATTATTCTGATGTCTAACCTGATAGGCTCTTCTTGATCGCGCCACTAGAAAAAAATTACGATCCCCTACATACCAATAGTTTAATTATTAAATAATATAGTTAATTGTTAACACTTCGTGTCTTATACCGGAAAGTTTTACGCATGTATGGCTATGTCAATACCTATAGGCTATACCTAGTCAGTTTAAATTTTACATGTCAGGGTGACAGAGGTAAAGGTAGATTTGGAGTTTTTTTTTCTTTTTATGAAAGTGAATATTGTATCTATTTAGAAATGAAGTCTAGCATAAGAAAAATAGTAGATGTCTGAATTTGTTTGTAGTTTTTAACAGTTTCAGTAATTCAACAAACACAACTAACAATGTAATTTCTATTAAAAACTGTCTTAACGATCGAAATCAGACTCATATATCATGTATGTATAAATGGATATAGAAAGAGGTGTCAAACTAAATTTGTACTGACAACAAATGAGAGTGAACATTCTCTCACAAGCAAAACCTTTTCATTCCCATTTGCAGCATTTCCTCACGTGAGTTCCGTGTACCACCAGTCGCTAACCCAAAAAGCCTATAAACAATCGGACGGTCAGATAACGTGCCACGTGGCCAAAAGGATGACATCGGACGGTGAACAAGCTGACGACGACCACCCTGGAATTTCCCGCTTTGCCCCCTGTTCACACGTCATCATGTCTCAACGCGTCCAGCGAAAAAAAAGAAGAAAAAAAAAAGGATTAGCGCATCAACGCCAAAAATGGGATTCATCGGTTGAACTCAAGATGGAATTTTGATCTCCTCGGTGTTCTTCTTCCCTCCAGATTTGGTCACTGTCGCGGGGGAAGAGAGAGGCGGAGCATCGGAAAGCAGGTGAAATTTTGTGGGGGGATTTGTTTTTTATCTTTGTTTGTTTTGTGGTTGCGTTGCCAAATTCAGCTTTCCTCGCCGTTTGGGGATGATTCTAGCTGGAATTCCGCTATAAAGATCGCTCCTTCTTGAGCTCACGATCTGTACTCATCTCTCTCTCCAACCCTTCCCGATCTGCAGATCGAGCCGGAGGCGCCGCGGCCTCCTCCCCCCCACCGGCGCCTCGGATCGAATCGAATCCAATCGAAGGTATTCGTTCTTCTCCCATAGCCCTCTCGAGCTGGATTGGATTGGAGATTCATACGGCGTTGGATTCATTTCTTCCCCTTTTGATTGACCCATCCAGTTTGCACATATGTTTCTTGCTGTAAAAAATCAGCTGTTTTTATTTTTTATTTTTAATTAATTTGTTGTTGTGATGAAGGATGGAGTATGGAAGGAGGAAACCTATTAGCTTGCTGGAGCTGTGCATCCGTACTACCATGGATAACCTGAGGTATGTCGATAACGTGGACGGCGTGGAGATGGATCTGCTCCAGAGAATCCTGCCTCACTGCAAGATGGAGGACCTGACCCGTATCGAGAACAATACCGAGGTGATTTCGATAAGATTCGGGTTTCGTCGGAGGCGATATTCCAGGTTATCTTGTAGTAGTAGATTGGTCTGACATTGTGTTTTGGTTGGATAGATGGATCTTACCCCAGTTACTGATAAGCTGTGGAAGCTATTCTATACGCGACAATTCGGCGAGGAAAATGCAAACCAAGTCGTCAAGAGAATGAGCATGAGCGGAGCGCGGTACAAGTGGAAGGATCTCTTCGATGTAAAATAGTACCTTTTTCATCACTCTTTTGTTGTTTTGGTTGGCTGTGGATGTCAGGGTTTTAGGAGAAAGAATTATGAAGGACTAAAATTCTAAAAGTTGTACCTGTTATTTGTAGGCCAAAACAAAAAAGCAGAAGGAATATGAAGAAAAGATGGGCCAGAGGCTTGCTAAGAAGTATGAGGCAGCGAAAGCTGGTAAGGTGGTTATAGTTCTGTATTGAAAGTGTGCAAAATGAATTGATATGTGTCATGCTGATAATAGAATAGCTATAGGATCTTTGATAGCTTAATGAATATATGTTATTTGCAAATGAGTTTGGACAGTAAATTGGTCGATATCTCCAGTTGGCGCTTCAGCCATTGAGAACGCGAGCAGGACAAAATTACAAGACAGCACTTTGACTTGTTCTGATGTATTGCCTTTTATTTTGGTGGAGTTACAAGTGACATCTCCTTTGCTTCTAGGGCCTATCTATAGTGCTGGGCGAGGGGACGCAGAACCACAGATCAACCCTCAAATACCTATACATGGTTGAGTGGCTTCATAGTACCTCGCCACTCCATGGGGTCCATTCGCCAAAGGCACGATCTGATGACATTGTGAGGGGTCCTGCCGAACTCATAGGCTGTTCACGCTATTGACTCTGCTCCTGGGTTACATCCAGGATGATCCACTCATGCCACTGCTGACCTCTCCCACTTTGCATCTTGGGCCTCTCGTTGTATTGATATCGACTCGACTCAGATTTTGTCCGGGGATCACCGGATCAATATTCTTTCCTCGCTGCTAGAAAGGGCTGGATTGTATCCACTGGTGGCTTTGCACCACGAGGATGAACTAGGATGAGTCATAACGGTAGTCGGTATTTCTATGGTGAACAAGGATGTGTGAGGAGCCTTCCCTCCACATGTTTTGTTTATGGAATTTAACAAATTTTCCTGGTAAGTACAGCATGTTAAAATATGAATTACTTTTGCCACCCTAGTCGTAATGTCATTAACTTCAATCTGTCAATTACTTTTGCAGAAACATTTTCTTGCTGGGTGTCTCCAGATTGTATGTGTTAGATACGGATTAACTCTTGCGCTATGAAATAAGCATTTAATTTTGCAATGGAAGTATTTGGCTGGCATAATAATTTGGGTCTTTGATGGTGGATTAATTTTTCGTTTAGTGGTACTCTACACTTCTATTGTAAGCTACTTCAAATAGAATGAATCAAATGCCATTGCAAACTTTCACGGAAGTCCACAAAATTAGCTTTTTGTAAGCTACCACAGTCCAATAAAATATTGATTTTCCCCCTTCCCGTCTGCATTTTATTTATTTACGCTTTCTACCATTAGAAATGGGTGATTCTTGAGAAGAACCTGAATGCCCACTGCCAGTTCATGCTCTCCACATGCTATGCCATGTAAGAATCTTCTGATGATTTGTGTTAATCCCTTGAGTTACGGTGAAATTAGCAAAGCCAACCGCAATCTGTATGATTCATAGATTTTTTTTTTGTTCTTATAAGGTCCATTTATAGGCCGCAATCGCATACATTTATAAATGGAATCTGTACTTATGAAACCATCTTTAATTAACGTTGAATTGGAGGTAAATATTGCAAATGTAACCTAGTGCTGAGATTAGCTGAGCTGTTTGCCTCAAAAAGGGGTATCAGAATCCTCCATTAGAGAGTGCAAAGAAAGGTTTATTTGATTCCTGTCTAATTTGATTAGTTAATTCCTAGTTAGAAGAAAATCTAGCTTCTTCTTGTGACAACAAGTAATTATTTTTGTTATTTTATACTAGTATCCAGGATCAGTATCATTCAAGTTCTAACTTTCCTTTTCTTTTCCAGAGAAACAAAGTAAACAAATTAAAATTTGTACGAAGGTGCCACCAAGCAGCAAAAGAAGTTTTTTCGGAGGTAGTTTTCTTTCTCAGTTTATTCTGGATTCTGCCTTGCAACATATTATGTTTCCCATACTTACTAAGTCTCCACAGGAAGTGGACCCAGCAACCTATCCAGCTATAAGAGCCCTATTCTTAAAAAAGCAAGGATGGAGGTTAACAGGTAATTTTATTTTCTCGTGGAACGATTGACGTGAAATGGCTGTTTTCTGAAACCGTTGTCTAATTTTGTGTTACAGTCAGGCAAAAATGAAAGCTGCTATTCAAAGGAATACTATAGCAAGGTTTGTCTCATTTCGACATTAACGTTTTGGAGAATTTCATACATGTTTCGTTTTTGAAATACCTTGCTATTTGAACCTCTCAATCTCTCATGTTATTTCACTAACTCTGGCTCTGCTTTGACAGGACATCTCAGCACATAAGGATGAACTCAAATCATGTACAGCCAATGAAGACAACGACTATTCATAGACCCAATTCAACCATTACCATCACTAAACCAACTGGTCCGAATAAGCCATTACAGAGCGACAAACAAACTGGTCTGAATAGGCCGTTTGAGAGCAATAAACCAACTGGTCAGAATAGGCCATTCCAGAGTAACAAACCAACTGGTCAAAATAGGCCATTGCAGAGCAACAAACCAACTGATCTGAATAGGCCGTTTCAGAGCAATAGGCCGAAATTCTAGAGGATCAAACCGCAGCATCGCGTTCTTGACTCCAGAGTTCGCCTTGCTTGTGCAGCAAAAACATCAAATTTCTTGTGCACAAGTTGTGGTAGTTTACCATAACATGAACTCATTGTGCTCTAGGAAAAATAGTCTTGTCTGAAGTTGGCCTCACTGAGCACTCGTATGTTGTATCTGAAGAGCATCCGTTTGGCAAAGGAGAAGCACACCAAAGTGTACCATAAAAATATTGGTTATATCTGTAACATACAATTTTTATCATATGAGAAAAGGATTTTATTCCTTGATTACTTTTGGATCCATATTATGCTTTGTGAGTATTTGTTGAGATGCTAAGGATTTAGAGGGATTGTTCTGGTGACAATTCTATGGCAAGTGAGATGTGTTCTCAAGGTTGATCTCAGCAGTTCTTTCCTTTCAGATGTTGATGTCAACAGTTGCATATAGTCAGGAAGGAGAACCTCTCTTCCAGTAGAAATCATCTGTTAATTGGTTGCTTAATGACCAAAATATGAATATTAAAAACAAGCAAAATAATTTTGGTGGTTGTTTGACTCCAGTGAACATTGGAACTGAGAAGAAAGCTAAGATTTAAACTGAAGTTTAGATGTTGATGTCAACAGTTGCATGATAGTCAGGAAGGAAAACCTCTCTTACAGTAGAAATCATCTGTTGATTGGTTGCTTAATGACCAAAATAAGGGTGTTAAAAAAATAATGTTGGTTGTTGTTTGACTCCAGTGAATATTGGAACTGAGAAGAATGCTCAGATTCTAAACTGAAGTTCATATTTGAGGGAAACTTTACAACGGTGGCTGCAAAAATTTACTAGCTAAAATCTAGGCCCCAGGCCATCAAATAAGGAACCTGTGGGCATCAAATAAGGAACCTGTCTGGTACATTTGTATCAGGAAAAAAATGTATTTCGTCTATAATAGAATTACAATGGCAACAAATTACTTGTGCACGACAAAATATCATCTGATAAGAAAATAAGGATCAAAACTTTCAGTTGCTGAACTCCCTACTTGATCCCATTGCTTCTTTGGGGAATTGAACGTCTCGTGTGATTCTTTTACCAACGAATAAAGGTTAGAGATCAAAGGATTTTTTAGGAATGGTGTGATAACCCCATCAAGGTCTGAAAAGTTCTTCAAATATTCTGTGTGTCTGTCCTTCAGCTGTTCCAAAGATTGTGACTGAGCAAGTGCATATAGGCCAAGCAGATTTGCATAAACTGATATGAACACATCCTTATGGTTTCCTATACCACCAATCCAATCAGTTTTCCCTTCTTTCTCGAGAAAGCTGCTGGTCAGTGATATGAGCTGGTGCAGAAAGCTCTCCCTCCAGTTCTGCAAGAACAGTTCAACTTCTGCTCCTGTTTCCACCAGATATTTGGACTGCAAAAGCTTCTGAATACTAGAGCAGCAGATCTGACATATCAACAGCTTCTCCTCATGGTGGTTATCAATCTCTTTATCAAAGATCTGACGGATTAAATCTCCACGGGAGTTCAAAGTGTTAGCGGTATCCAGAACTAGCCTTAACAAGTATTCAGTGTATTTCAGCCAGTGACCAAGCAAAGAAGTTAGGTATTCGAAGCTCAACTCAATCACTCTATCCACTTGAAGTGGTGTGGAATCATCACACAAGTTATTAGCTGAACCCTTTGCAATTATTTTCTGAACATTGTTGGCAAGTTTTTGTCTAAGGTATGTATCTTCATCCTCCAGCAACTGGATGCATATGAACCATAAGTCAAGTATCTTGCATGAATAAAGATTGATAAGTTCACTCACAGTAGCATTTGAGCATTTTTCCTCGATATGGTTCTCATCATGTTCCGAAGGAAGGTATGCATTGGACAGGGATGGGGCAAATAAATTGGCTTCTTCCAGAAGACCAGACGCAATAATTGCTTCAGCAGCAGCCCTTCGAGCATTTACAGTTTCAGACGGTGCACTCAGGTTCTTAACAAGATTGACAAAAGAGCTTGCACTAAGAATGGCAGTTGACAAGTTTTTCCCTTCATCAATTCTGACAAAAGAAGTAGAGTGCTCATGTGTTTTAGAATCCAGTAATCCCCTTAGCATTTTAGCAAACTGTCTCATGCACATACCCATGCAACATAGAATTGTTTCTCTGGTTTTTGCATGCGACACTGTGCTGTTTAAATGAACTAATCTGTCCCAGAAGGATAAAAATGTGCTGGAATCTTCTTCACTGTTGAACTGGCATTCCATGTTCCATGAAAAGATGATCTTTAGATTATAGTAAAGACATTTGGGGTGTTCTTCCTCAAATATTCGTTTTAATATAACATGCTGCAGGTTGGACTTTGCCCACTGGTGCAAAAACTTTTTGCTATCACCAGATCTGGCTGATTTGGCAAGCTGAAGAATCCTCTTCAGTGCTGTAATTCTAACATCATATGCAGGATCAACAAGGCAAGATGCAATCTCCTTATGTAGTTCATAGAGGGAGACCTCCCGAGGCATCTCTGGTATGCTTGAAGTCATATCAAGTATTTGCAACTGAACATTTTCATCGTTAGTTTCATCATGTCTCTTTGGAAGGCCAACACAGCTGAAATATGATGCAGCTGCTTGCTGGCGAAGTTCAATCTGCGTAGGGTCATGGAATGCATAATGAGTTGAAGTCCCATTGTTCAAACACTGATAACTCAACTCCCAAAGGAGGATCTGGATGGCATCAGTATGCCCACTTTTCCCTGTTCTTGCAACATCAAGCATCAGATCAAGCACCCGCAAGTAAGATGTACTTACAACGGGGCATGCACATAACTTGACACTGCCAAGCCAGGAGCATTTTGAGAGAGCCTCAATCAGTTGGCTAAGAATCTGATCCTTCTTGGTACTGTCTGTCAAAGCTCTAAAGTTGTTATCTAGAAGAGAAGACAGCTGCAGCAAAAGGCCATGAATTGAATTGAATGAGAAAGACTTAGCGGGCAGAGTTAAATTTCCATTTCCCATATCAGCTGATAAACACAGAGCACGGTGAGCAGTCACTTCATGGCTTGCACAAGGTAAATTATGCAGTATATCACCGACAACATGCTGCAGTCTCTCATTAGACACCAAACCAATTAAGGCTCTTGATGCAAGGACACGAACCCGATAGTTACTTTGTGTGGCGCATCTTTGGATGAAAGGCAAAAGCAAAAAAGGATCTAAGGAATCATCAGTGCCACGGCTTATAGGTGAAGGTTTGAGCCTTGACAATAGAATAAGAATTGGGCACAGGCTTGGGTGTATGGCTTTTGCAATCTGTGACCCCAAATTGCTCGAAATTCCATCAGCTAGCAGTCCAGTTGCAACATTCAGTTCACTAAGAAGGAAAGGATGAAGTGCTGGGTACCTACATAAGAAAACAAGGCACACCTTTCAATAAAAACAGTTGATCCCACAAACTGAACTAGTTGCTGGTCTGTACAGATATTGAATATAAATGTTTGTCAATAAGAAAGAAAAATGCCGCAGGTAATAATCTACTGATAAATTTATATAGACAAGAGCCACAAAACTGAAGTGCTGAACCACTGAAAAGGTTACTAACTGTGTATGTGTAATTCACAAAATTTAAATATTTTCCATGATATTAATGTGTGAGGACAGTAGGGCAATAATGACAGGGCACAAATTACCACACCGAAAACCATATTCAAACATCATCAACTTGCCTGTGGAAAAATTCAAGGCCAGTTAATGACCGCCGTGCTGATTCACGTTTGTGCACATTCAGAAACCCAACCATACGACGAACCAATGCAGTATACGCAAGACAAGCTGCGTTGCGCACTTCCCAGTAAGGAGATGAAAATGCATGTATAGCAACAATTGTTGCCTCAGCACAGAAACCAGAAGTGTCAGTCGCTAAATTTGCATCATTGAAGGCAGCTCTAAGCACATTAAACACATGCACAGTCGGAACAACACCCTCATTTCGGCTTTTAGATAAGTTCCCATTAGAATGTACACCTGCAGTAGTTTCTGATTGTGATTCACATGGTTCTCCAAGAAAATCCTTCTCTGTGTCAAGCTTCTGGTTGGAATCATTCTGAAAATTAGCTAAAGATGTTTTGGCAAATTCTATGAGCCATTCTAATGCTCGTGGAAGTAGCTTCTTTGGTGTTCCTTCTGGCTCTGCCAAGAACAAGGCAATAAAAGCAGCAGGAATTCCTGCACTCCTTCGTAGCAAATCATCCACAGTTTGCCCTTTAGCAACCGTCCTATCCATCAGAAGCTCCATCCATGATTCTGTCATTTTACATAGCCTGAAATGATGAGACAAAGAAAAGATCATCAGCACATAGAAGCGAGCTATAAGTCCCAAATCAACATAATACACAACTGTAGAATATGGTTAACATGAAATTTTAATTTCTGCATGCACATGAATATAGAATCAGGTTCATGAAAATCACAATAAACTAGTAATGCCTTTCAAACGATGGACCATTAACACAACAAAGCATTCTTAATAACATGGCAAATTTTTTTATGTTGAGAGTTAAGGACGAAATTGAGTTGCTCATCATCTTGGACATGATTGTATCACAAGTAGGGATAGGGAATTGATGAACAGTTTGGAGCCTCCTGTTATGTTAAATCTCATAAATAATGTTACTTGTTGGCTGTTGCTGAATTATTAATATACACATTCTGAAATCTGAAGGTAAACATGTACTGCAGGACTAGATTATGCGAACCATAATAAATATTTCCTTCTTCCTAGAAACAAGAAACCAATGTGAAGATGAAATACTGAAGTATACCTTGAATCATTTGAGCAAAGAAGGCGATTGCAAAGTGCAGTAAGTCCAGCCCTTGTCTTATCAATTGCACCATTATGCTTCATTTTAAGAAGAACCTGCAGAAAATGGTTACCCATCTTCTCTAACTGTTCAACATCAAGAATGTCCCCAGTCATGCCTGTCTCCTCTGTATTCTCAGCCAAATCACCATGAGATGAATTTGAATGAGAGCAACCAGGCAATGGAATTTTCCTGATGATAGTTCCAAAGAGAAGACTAACCTGAGATATAAATGGAACAGTTATGTCAGGGAAACAATAACTGAATACAACACACAGAAAATTACATTGAAACAATAATGTCCATCTGACGTGAAGTGTGCAATTTCTTGGAAACAAGACCTCTGTTTTAGTGGCTACATATAATATAAAGATCGGGGTTCAGGCAGGATGAGAAGCATTGAATAAAGGACACATTCGACCAAACAGACTTTCCAAAAAACTGCATACTACGATACTATTATTCATCGGAAGCCCAGTTTATAACCATACTGTATCATTGATAACCTAAGGATTTTGGAAAGTTAATTTACTGCATCCGGTGAGAAGCTAAAAATAAATAAAGCTGGTGAAGAGCAGCTTTCAAAACAGAAGTAAGCCAAGTGAAAAGATTTACCTCCTTCATAGCAAGCCAGCAACCAACCATAACAACATGCTCAGCTGGTTTGCCATTATGCCCTGATTTTACATTGGTCTCTGCTATTTCTGAAGCGGTACCAGGTTGATCCTCATCTATTATATCTGAGAGGAAGGAATCATCATCAATCATGTCATCCACATCATATGGCATGTACCACGCATCAGAAGAAACCACCCACAGGGCCAATGAAGTCACACGCATTATAAGTTGAAGAAGCTTTTCTACAAGACATCTCATTTCAGCAATACATGACTGTACTACCTCAGTGTTCCAATCCAATTCATCAAATGTGTAGCGCAGGGTAAGAAGAACTCCATGCACAAAGCTTTTCTTGCATGCTTCAGAAAGATCCTTCTCACCCTCTTCAACAACAGCACACAGCCACTGAATAAGTGATGAAATATATTGTGCAACTGGGTTTTGACTAGTCAGTTCTGTGTCATCATTTGTGGATTTTGTGTAACATTGAAGGCAATCATTTTCTTTAGAAAACACAAGAACACAGCCAAACTCTAGAACATACTTCCTAAATATCAGTCGGAAGGTTAACGCACCAGCATCACTTTCCCGGACTCGTGGGCTAAGTACAAGTTTTTTTGCCCATCTGATAACACTGTCTATGGATGTACTCGAGGAAATTCCAGGGAGTGGTGTTGGGAATTGCAGTAGAATGCGAAAAGAGTTTTCCCTTAGCCTGTCCCAGCTATCAATTATAGACCCTACAAATGAAATTGTTGAATCTGGCAGTGTTATGCTGTCACTATAAGGATAAAGATCATTCTTCCCTTCAGAGCGACAAATAGGCCATACATCTAGCAAGGTAAGAATAAGCTCCATTGCAATTGTTCTCCTTTCGTAAGGGCCAGAGGGGTAACAAGAATTAAACAGAAAGGAGCTAAGCCACTTCATGAATTGGAAGAGATCTTCAGCTCTCTTGATAGTGGTGGCCTTGACAGTATCAACAGAATTAGAATCTTTGTCGCCAGACAATGAAGATGGAAGCCATAAACCCTGCTTTACCTGTCTGTCCAGTGCTGTTCGCACCCTGGCAAAAAACTTTCTAAATAAACTTGTCCATTTCATTTGAAATGCTGTCGAGCTACAACGCATATTCAATGGGACTGCTTGTTTAAGCAAGCTCAGTTCCAAGGCGGATGGAAGACTTGATGTCTTGGGATTTAGAAAAAGTGATTCAGCAGCATCTATTCGGAGGCTTTCTTCATTGTGTGTCAGTGCTAAAACAAACCATTTAACAGGCACTGTAACATTAATTCCTCTGATAGATATAACCGCATCACACTTGTTAGCTACCTGCTGAGACAAAACATCAGGATCTAAATCAATGTCCCCTTCCACAAGTGCAAGGTTCCGAGAGACCTTAAGCAGTGAAACCAATGCAGCTATACACTGGTCATTTTTCAAAGCAACATCTAGTTCGATTGCCTTTGCGCTTGGGCCAACATTGATGAATCCAAGCATAGCAAATATGCTATCTGCATCAACTTCGATAGCAGCAGGCAGAGCATAAGTATTTAGATTAGAACGTAGTTTTGAATTTCCAGATACTAGTCCCCGCAACAAAGGAGGCAAGCACAAAAATCTGAAGGCATCATACCCTTGCTCAATACCATCATCTTTCCAGCATTCATCTCTTAATGTCTCGAGGAAGCATTTTAAAAATGATGTTGCAGCGCAACAGACATCATCATCCATGTAAGCATAAGCTGTTTCCAAAAGGAGATTTGATTTCAACTTTAGAAGAGATTTGGCACCCAGCCGCTTTGTCAAAGAAGCTAAAGGGATATATCTCCCTTTACATCGCGGACCTAGGCGAAGTAAATCACTTGCAATATTAAAGAGAAACAGTTTGCTGTTTTCCTCAGGATCTCCTGATGGAATACATGATTCAATATCTAATAGTAGATCAAATATGAGATGCACCTGTTTTACTGTCTGGCTCAAAGGATCTTCTAGGTTACTCCATATGATTCTCAATATACGGTTGATCACATCTCTTGAGAAAGGTTCATAGTCTCCAGAGAAGTCAGTGAAATCAGCTAAAACTGAAGTTTTTATCTGCTGCAAACATATTTGAGTCACTGTAAGAGCATGGAAATTGAAATGGCTATCAATTGGGTTCTCACAGTGCTTGCAAAGCTCAGGTAAAATCCCATTGTACAACATAGTCCATAAGGATCCATTGGAATGAAGCTGACGCATGTTGAGTACTGTCCTTGGAATAGCAGTCAAAATCCCTCTCAGCAAACAAAGTCTACTCAAAATTGAGATATCTCTGATTTCTTCACACAAATTGAAGTCAGAAAGCACCTCATGTCCAGCTGACTCTTTGATGTCTTTTTGTTCAGCGCAAATAGAAAAGAGACCTTCAGAAAGGAACCAGCAAATATCCTCGGAACTCATGAAAACTTGAATTGCAGCACAAAAGCTAACTCCAGAGGCCACCAGGCAATCCCTAGAAAAGGCTGATGACTTGAGAACAGTCAGTATCGTCCTAACAACATGCTTGAAGACAGTAGATGCTTTGTCAAGTTCAGTAAACTTAGAAGGGTAGCGCTGCAGCAAGTAGTACATGCAAGACATAGCCTCTTGGCACTGCTCCATCACAACTGGCGATGGTCGGGACCCATCAACTATGTCACTAATCACCCCATCAAGCCCAGCAACCACATCTAGTGCCATGACCTCTGCACACTTCTTGACTGATTCATCCAAAAAACCTAACTTTGGGTACCCAATCAGCGATAATGCTGCTCGAGATACCAAAAATCTTTTCTTCGCCTTGATACCAGAGCCACCATACTCCTCACAGAGCGTAGCAAAGCATCCACTGATCAATGAACAGTGTTTCTTGCACTTGGCAAGCACAGATATGATTGTCCGATGGAGTGGTAGGGAGTTCTCAAGGAAGAGAATCTCCAAATAAAGTTTTGTTGCAACAAGAACAGCATCATCAGGGATGGCTGGACTTGAAAGAAACTGCACAAATGCTGAGGCAAGGTCCTTGACTGCAATGACTTGCGCATATGTGGAGGTGAGAGAGATCAAATTGTTCAATTGGGAGAAGAAACTGGACGAGGACACCTCAGTCGGCACACGAGCTAGTTCTTCAAGGTACTGCTTGGGGAACACAAGTGAGGTGTACGTGTACCGGTGCCGATGCTGCAACGAGCGCCACTTCGCCGACATTGTTCCACCAATATTAGCTTCTCCACCTCAATCTAAAGCACAAATAAATGAATCCTTTGGTCAAATTCCAGCATAATAATAATAATCCACCAGTCAAAAAAGTAAAGCAAATGAGCTCTTCGAAATTGGTTCCGATAAGTACCACAAGCGATCTCCAGAATAATAAGCTCACCCAGACCTCCACCAGAAAACTTTTCTCTGAACAACAACAGGCAACAGCTTGGTCTGCCAGACTTCTTCCTCCCTAACAAATGACAAAAATATTTGGTCTCTTTCAGTTGGACTCAATGGTTACAACCGCCACGAAGAACTAATAGAACAAAGCTACACAAAAAATTTTCATAGCAAGCACAAAACTAACAGTTCTAGGTGAGCTAGAAATTCAGCAGCAGCAGCAGCTTCGAAGACGGGTGAATCTCCCAGGTGTCCATTTGGACATCCATGAACTCAAAAAAAAAAAAAAAAACTCTTCTGCACTTCTTTTTTTTTTGTCGGGGTATGAATCGCTACCACGCACCTTCTCGAGACTCTTCGCCGGCGACGGAGGTGGGATTGAGGGAGTTCAGCGGTAGCTCGCCGTCGGTGCGCCGCCGCCTGAGTCGGCGAGCTGTGGCGGCGCAGCGAAAGGAGGCGAGGGTTTAGGGCTTGGTCTCTCTCTCTCCTCTAAAGCTTTTTTTTATCTGACCAAAATGCCCCTCTCCAACATGGGGGAATTTAACTATTTGCCACTTTTAGTTTTAACATTAACGGGGTTTACATGTGTCTATGACATATGGGTCCCATTGCTCCTTTCCTGTTCCGTGCTTTGAGATTCGGGCTCTCTCTCTTCTCTAAAGCTTTTTTTTATCTGACCAAAATGCCCCTCTCCAACATGGGGCAATTTATCTATTTGCCACTCATATGTCAATGACACGTGGGGTCCACACGCGTCTATGACGTGTGGGTCCAGTGGCAAATACCACCTCCAACATTGCTCTTGCCTATTCCGTGCTTTGAGATTCGGGCGCTCTCTCTCTCTCTCTTCTCCTCGCCGGCGAGCGCGTCTCGAGATGCCCGCGGCGGCGGCGGCGGCGGCGCGCGGCCCGCTCCTCCATCTCCGGCGGAACCCGGCGCCACGCCTTGCCGCCGCCCGCCGCTCCTTCTCCTCTTCCGGGATGCGGTGCGTCAGCGCGGCCGCGGGCGCGGGCGGCGGCGGGAGGGAGCGGCGGTCGTCGCCGGCGTTCGGCGGGCTGCTGCTCGACGCCGGGGGCACGCTGCTGCAGCTGGCGCGGCCAGTCGCCCAGACGTACGCGTCCCTCGGCCGGCGATACGGTTCGTACTCCTCTCCCCCCACCTCCCCATCGAACCACCATTTCGCTCCTCGCGCTTACCTTGGCATTTCGTCGAACACGTGGCGGGCGTGTGGCCTCCAGGTATGAGCAAGAGTGAGGAGAGCATCAAGGAGGGATTCAAGCGGGCCTTCTCCGCGCCATGGCCAAAGACGCTCAGATACCAGGTAATCGACATGGACACGCAGTAATTGTGTCATAGAGCAGCAATGTTGCTTGTGCAAGCTGTGAAATTGTGGTGGGTTTGTTGCTGAGGTGATGATGATTTGGATGCGGGTTGTTGTCGTAGGGAGATGGACGGCCGTTCTGGAGGATTGTGGTGGCAGAGGCAACCGAATGCACCAATAATGATTATTTCGAAGAAGTATATGAGGTATAGCGTTATTGGTCTTGTGTGGGGTGCTTAATTGTAACTTGCTGAGAAGGTTATTTTGATCATTGGATGAATGCTTTGCTTTGGACCTTTGGTTACTGAAGGTTGATAAAGAGTCTGTCCTCAAATATTGTTCGATATCTGCTGAAGAAACGGGAAAAACATTTTCCGCTACCTTACAAGTATTATGGATATGTTGTTAGACAATGATAATTCAGATAATTAATCTTCATTATTGATATCGGGTGGCTACTCATTACACTTGCCCTTGTCTAATTGGAATCAAGAGTCTGTGATTTGATGATAGACAAGTAAGTGTTTTTGAAGATGAAGAGCTGCTTTTTTTTTTTTTGAAAGGAGGGCACACTTTGGTGACATCCGATAAAATAAGAGTTGTGTTTTGGTTCAATTTAATTTATTGATGCATCAATTGTTCATGTTGTACTTGTACCGTGTGACTTATAGTTGAAATTTCTCTTATCTGTTAGTATTACGCTCATGGAGATGCATGGCGTCTGCCTGCTGGGGCTTACGAAACACTGCGTGATCTAAAGGATGCTGGAGGTCATATAATTCATGTATTCTCTTCCCTTTTCAGCTTCCAGTATTGAATTATGGCTTCAGCCTTCAAAACCTTGTCTGAAACTCTTTTGTCTGCAAAAATCACACCTTATTAATGTTTCAATTTCAGTTAAGCTAGCTGTTGTATCTAACTTCGACACACGGTTACGAAAATTACTTAAGGACCTTCATGTCTCGGATATGTAAGTGCATATAACATTGCACTTTCTAAATACCCTGCTCTTATAAAATTTTTTGAGCAATGGACATATGCTAACAAATCTTGAGCTGTCCAGGTTTGATGCCATTGTTGTATCATCGGAGGTTGGACATGAAAAACCTGCTCCAGAGATCTTCAAGAGAGCATTAGGTACACAATAGCATTTAGTTTGTGAGTTAAGTTTTTTTAAACTATGAGTAATGGATGAATTCATCCAGTACTGGCTAGGCTGCATTTACTGAAGGTAACACACGCAGTCTCACAAGCAGGATGCTGCACCACATGTTCTATTTAAAATCAGTTGATGCTTTTTTTTTCAGTAGAACTAAAAAGTGGTTTGATTTTCTATTTGGCAGATCAAATTGGCGTAGAGGCCAGCAAGGCAGTACATGTTGGAGATGATGAAACTGCAGACAAGGCAGGTGCTAATGCCATAGGGCTTGAGTGCTGGTATGCATAGTCTTTCCCTTCTCATTCCTTTCACCATGTAGTTCAATTGTGCTGCAGATATCATGTCTCTTCAAGTGATTGATTTCTTAGTAATGCCATTATGATGATGCCACCATTTTTAGGCTGTGGGGACAGGATGTGAGGACATTTTCTGAGATACAAGACCGGATTCTAACAAGATTTCCACAATGACATCATAGAAACCTCACCGCAGGTGATCTTCACAGGCTTTCTTTTTTTTTCTCTCCAAAGCTTCGTTGTCATGACCAAGAGGCGCCAACTTTTGTAATGTATTAAGTCAAATATCACTAGCATTGGATTATCGATGTATTTGCATTTTGCAATAAATTAGCACCTTTACCAGCTTGCCACTAAATGTGGTAAAATCCACTAAACCAGCCCAACATATTACAGACACATCAAAACCAATTTTTTCCCGCTCCTATGCCTGAATACACTAGACTCCAGACTAGTGTCCATGCGACCATGCCTGAAACCAAACATGGTCAAACAGGCTGTAGAAATATCACTCCTGAACAAACAGAATGAAATTTTAAGAAATACACTTGGCTTCCAAACACAGTTTATTTTCATGCATGACTAAGAGTAGGCAGATACTATATCTCTGCTTATTGTGTGACACTGACATGATCAGAAGATTATTTCCTTGTCCCTGTCACCTTCTTCCAGCATGGTCTCTGCAATGTCGATAGAGATGCCGTGCTTGAGCTGCATGACTTCTCTGGCAACCCTGTACTGCTTTTCCAGCTCGCCGTTTGATGGTGTTAGTCCGACACCATCTTATCTTCACCATATCTCACAATTTCAACTCTGGGACTGTTTGGATGGATCCATGTCACCTCCCTTGCAGTCTCCTCTGCTTCCTTGACCTCCCTGAGACTAGCATTCTCACAGTTTATGGAGATCCTGAATTTCTCGACATATTGGTTCCTCAACAGCCAAGAGAATTTAATGTTACGACCTTTATCCTTGATCTTCCGTACATTGACATCACGGTGAACAACTTCAGGCTGAGAGTGGGACACCAATTTCAAGTAAGCAAAGCTGTGTTATCGTGTAAAGTAAATTAAGAACAGGTGCAGGCATGCAGCTAGCGTAGGTCCTTAGGCTTACACGGTGTGGTTCTCTTTATGAACAAATTGAACAGGATTGTTTTAAAACGAATTGCGTTCTCTATACAACTTTTCAATCATTTCTAGGATACAAATTATTTTCTATTTAGCTTACAGTGATTAATATGGACAGTTACAAGGTGGATCCACACACAGTCAAGTACGATTTTATTTTTGGGTATTTGGGTTTACTTTCTAAACCTTATGAGCTAGCGAATGTGGTGTCTCTTTTGCCTCTTTCTCACCCTATTTTAGTAGTACAATAGATGGAAGGTTGAAATCACCATAGCAGCACAGCATGCATGCTTGCTAAGTACCTCCATAAATAGGAATCAAATGGAGAAGAATTTATATTGTTAGCTACTAGTAATAAGGGATAGGATTGGAGACTAAAAACTTGGTAACCAAGTCAACTAGCTTCATAACTACTTGTAACAAGTACAACAATGGGGGATTAACTCTTTTAATCCAGTAGAGATCACAGAGGCGATTTACCTCTTGATGTTGGTCAGACAACACCATCTTATCTTCATCATATCTCATCATGTCAAGTGTGGGAGAGTTGGGATGATTGTCGACTGCGCACCTCGCAGCCGCCTCTGCTTTCTCCACCTCCTGAAGCGTAGATCCTCACAGAAGATGGAGACACCGAATTTCTTGACCCATGGGTTACGCAGCAACCAATGGAAGTCAAAGTAACCGTCGTCATCCTTCATCTCCCGCACATTGACATTTTGGAAAACAACTTTAGGATTGACACTTGTAGGCTGAGTACGGCAAAATAAGAATTGAATGGACAAGTAAGTAAGATAAACTATGAATTGTGTAATTCCGTAATAAATTGGAGAAAACTCCTTCTATGCCCAAGCACAAGAGTTGGACGGAATTAAAATATATCATGATCCCATACAACAAGTTATGAATTTAGTGTGAACCTTGCACGACAACTTATACTGCCAACCTAACACACCACAAATCCCAACATCCATTCAATGCTCTAAGGTAAAATGGACCTTTCCATAACTACTAAATGGTCAATTGCCTGTCAATTAATGGAATGAGTATTTATGGGACCAAAACCAAAATTTGGGGTCTTAGAAGGGATTGAGTAGAATTCGCGGGTATGAAATGGATTGACTGAAATTTTAGATGCATGTAAGGAATTTTCTCGATCGGCTGGATACATCTTCAATGTAGACTGTAGAGGATGAATTGAATTCCATTATTGAAAAGCTAAACCATGGCACATACTAAGAATAAAGGAACTAAACAAGAGAAGAATGCCACATCGTGTGGCTAGCTGGCAGCTCAGACCCTGATCAAGGCTTATAATTAATCGCAGGAATGGAAAAGAAGGAAAGAATAGGTGAATTAAGAGAACAAATAAATTGTTGAAACCACAAATTCCAATCGATAGATGTGTGTGCACGTACCTCTTTGTAAGGTGAATGTATCTTACTGTCACCCAGTCTTGTGGTTTTAAGGGTAGGGCGGTTGGGATGGACAGCAGCCACTTGTGCCAGCGCTGCCTCCGCTTCCTCCACCTCCGTGACACGGGCACCCGAACATGCCATGGTAGCTTCAACTCTTCTTAGTGAAGTTCTTCCATGGTTCCCAAAGCCAAGCAGCTTGTCAAAACCAAGTAGGTTGGCATCTCTTAGGAACAGCACACGGACAAAAAACTCGAGGGATTCAAGCCTTGGCATGATAGTCTTTGTGCTGCAAATGACACCATGTAGATCAAACCGGAGAAATGAACAGGGTGTGCTGAAATATCTCAACTTCCGAAAGTAGCCGTCACCAGCAGCCTTCTCAACGCTGACCACATGGGTTTTACACGAACACAGTTTTAGGTGGCGGAGCTCTGGCAACCTCCCAAGAGTTTCCATGTCCTGTTCCTTCACGATCTGCACTTGCAAATCTAGATAGCAGAGGTTTGGAAGAAGTAACGGGTTAATCCCCACAGGCATTCTATAGAACACCAAGGATCGCAATCGCAGGTGTCGGAGGCGTCGAGGGGAAGTGAATCCTGCTTCCCACATGACACTCTTCATTCTTGATGAGCCCCCAATGTCAATAGTATGGATCTTGTGTAGATTTTGTAGGGACTCCAGCAAATCTCTATCTGTTCTCTCATCCTGTCCATGAGTAAAAAGGCTAGTATGAAGCACCCTTAGTTCTCTCAGCTTGCCTAGCACCTTCACAAACTGACTTATATCAGCGGGACATATCCACATTTCCTGCAGGGATGTCAACTTCACGATCGAACCAGCCGACACCCTTGTACCCTCATTAGCTCGTAGGGACAACAGTTTTGTCAGCAAGCCCACTGACTCTGGCAACTCTTGAATTCCAGTCCCCGATAGATCCAGTACCTGTAAAAATTTTAAATCTCCTACTTCATCCGGGAGTTCGCTGGTTCGAACATTTTGTAGCCCAAGGTACCTAAGGTGATGTAAATTTCCAAGGTGCTGCAAAATATGTTTACAGTAATAGTTCCGAGAAAAATGATTTTCTAGAGCTAATACACGTAAGACATGAAAGCTTGGAGATTCCACAGTAATACCATCGCATTCACTCACAACAAAGGACCTCAGTTGGTCCACCCCCACATTACCCAACTGATGTCTGTTCTCTTCAAAATTCCTATGCTGCAGGGCTAACCTGCGAGTCTTGATCCTTGGAGATTCCTGTTTCTCACTGCCGTCCAACACAGTGACAAAGTTTTCTTCAAATGACAATAAACAGATCATATCAAGCACCATATCATGAACACGGCAACCATCTACATACCCTTTGTCTTCAGCCTCCACTGGCTGGATCATGCTTCTGTTTATGAGCTCATTGAAGTATCCCTCCCCGAGTTCAAATAACCCTACACCAGGTGCTTGTTTCTCATGTACGAAACCCTCAGCTATCCACTTCCATATCAACAAATTTTTCTCAATATAATAATCTTCTGGAAATATGCTTAGATACAGTAAGCAAGGCTTCAGATGCAAAGGCAGATCATAGTAACTCAAAGATAATATCCTTCTAGTGTTTTCCACATCATCATTGCCTCCATGCCCCAAGACAATAGTGCTGTACACTTCAGACCAATCCTCCTGAGGTTTATTGGCCAATAGACTAGCTATTGTAATGATAGCCAATGGCACACCGCCACATTTCTTCAAAAATTTGTCACATACTTCAACCAACGAACTATCAAGACATTTCCCTTCACCCTGAACTATTCTTGTATACAATAACTTTTCAGAGTCATTACGGGAAAGTGGCTGCGTTTTGTAAACATCACCCACATATGTGGCAACTTCAAAAACACGAGTAGTTACAACTACTCTACTTCTGTGATTACTGTCTTGTAGAGCACATCTGATCAACCCCCATGATTTCTTATCCCACATGTCATCAATGACAATGAAACACCTATAGATCCGCATGACAGTGAAAGAGCCCCATGAGCTAGAAACTAAACTAGAGAAAGAACATGTTTGTTTAGGTAATGGAATGCTAACATTGCAACTGCTACTGAGAGAACATACACAGGCAAGAAAGCACACCAACCCTGAGAAACCAAACTGTAACAATTTTATTTTTTCAATCTGACAATTATATGTAGATTAGTGCAGTTAAAATCAAACTTATGTGCTACAATTAGGCCAATCTTAATATTTGACTCAAGTGAATTATGCTTGAACTGCAACGCGCTATTAAATTGCCTTCTGTATAATTCCTTGGAAGATTAGAGCAATACTTTTCTCAATATTATCTCATGTTTTCCCCCTTTCTATATGCTGCACCTTTTTTGTGTATGAATGCATTCCACCTACACCTATCCATAGGCTACGAACGCCCCTCAAACACCAGCCAATCCACGGATTATGGACACTATATGCTTTCAAGGACAAGAATGGTTCCACCATGGTCTACGGATTATTATACATTCCCCCAGAAACCTTCTTCAGTTTAGAAATAATTCCATAGTTGTTTTTCTGTCTCATACTCTATTTTTTTAGAACTTCTGTCTCATACATGATATTGTGGTCAAGGGACTGGAAGTCCTGTGGCAACACCAGGTAAAAGGAATGTAGGAAAGGTTTAATTGGACTCAGCATCCAACATTTCAGCCAGGTAGTAGAATTAAGTAACTAAGATCTAACAATATTGGAGAACACATTGTTTCATTATTACAGAAGTTTTATGAATAGGAATTTGGTGATATTTCGTAATATGCAAGATAGCACAATAAAATGGTGTAGCCGAGAAGATGAACTGATCCATCTGTGTAAGGTGCGAGATAATTTAGACTAAGCATGGCGGTTCGAAAGAGTTTATAGGCAGAGGTTATGAACATGGAGTGTTATCTTAATACTGATCACCAATGGACATCTATTTAAATCAATCTGTCTCTCTTAACACACTGACATACACTAAGCTTTTATAACCACAGAACACACAAATAATGACCATATTTATTTTGGCTTCGCGGAATATTTCTTTTTTCATAGCACCAATCACATGCTGTCAACTCCTATTATATATATATATATATGATATCAACGATAATTATAGGAAACTAGTTACCTGAGTTTTTCACAATTTTATGACCAAACACTACCACATATTTAAAGCTATGTTTACAATGTGGGCTGTGCTTATTTCCAAAAATACATTCATATATGTTACGTGGTTGTATACTTTTGTATTGACTCAAATATAAGCTAGCTAGTCTATGTAGTATGTATCCACTAAAATAATAAGTACTTAATATTTCAACTGGTTGTTTTGTCGATGCACTGTCATTTCATAGAACTCAATATGATATATCAGAGCAAGAGATATTGAGCTTCAATCTTGGTTGGCACAATTAAATAAGAATATTGAAACCCACTTTTATTCTAGATATGATTAAGGGATAGAGCTCGACGTGGGGCTGCTGTTAAAATATATATAACTATATAAGCAAACTACTTGATTGGCTTAGTGTCTGTTTGGATTGGAGGACGTGCTGGTGCACGTAACTTATAACCACCAATTAATCTTGTAATTTCTAACCTTACAGAGTGAATATTAACTATTGTTAAATTTATTTCAATAATTTCATTGATATTTGATGGATCTAGAAAAGTCTTGAAAAGTTTTTAAGATATTTTTACAAATGGTTGCTGCTGGAGTTTTGGAAGTGATATGACCATTTAAAAGTTGAGACTTAGAGTAATATAGCTGATGTACAGTGGAGATACATGGGTGAAAGTTGGGCGTAGCTGCATATATAGGTGACATAAATAAAATATTGTACAGCTACTGAAACTAAAATCATTATCATCGTATAATTGTTGCAAGCCGTGGTCAGATGATTATATTCTTACCTCTTTTCCTGGAGGATTTCCTGGAGTTTATTGATGAGCTGCCTTTCATCGAACAAGGTGATATTAAAATCTGTATAGGTCTTCTTGTCAAGATCAATGATAATATCCCTAAGGACTTTCTTCATGTCAGGGTTCTGACCGACTGGAACAAAAGCCCCACAATCAAAACCTGGTTTAAGCTTTTCATAGACTGCTTTGACAAGAGTTGTCTTGCCCAGCCCTCCAATCCCGACAACAGAGACCACCCTCACCGTCTTGTCGAACAAATCTATATCATTCCCAAGAGACAGCATCTTTATGAGATTGTCCATTTGCCCTTCGATGCCGACAAGCTCAGTTGCCCTTTTGTACAGATTCAGGAGCCGAGGATCAATGTCTTCTGGGACTACAGGCTTGGTGACGATGTTATTGACCGTGTACCTCCCACGCCTTGCAGCCACCTCCTCAAGTTTCTCGTTGATGTCTTGGATGGCTCCAGCGATCTCTCGGCGAGCCTTGGTCTTCTTGAACAGTATGCTGATCTTCTTCCTGAGGCGGCGGAGGATGTGGGGGTCGGCAGGATCCTCGCGGCCATCAATATGCACCATGAAAGCGTCGATGATGTCCTCCATGTCATAGGACGCCTCCCTGAGATCCCACGCCCAGAGCTTGACCAGCTGGTCAAGCTGCTCTGGTGGCACCTGGCCAACCATGCGGAGGACGACATGGACGCTCTCAAGCTCCCACGAGAGAGACTCGATCTTCTTCTGCAAGCCTGCTTGCAGGCCATACTCATTGAGGAGCTGACCCAGCTTGGGGAGAAGGCTCCCCATTGCCCCTGTCACTAGCTCCATGCTTGCACACTCTTTGGCTCTTGCAATTAAGCAACAGATATGGTTGAGTTTCTCACCCAGATTTCTGTTGCATTGGTACCTTTGGAGTACCAAGATACATATATATAGTGTTGTGGATTAACAGGTCAGTACTGTTTGTTGGATCCATTTGATGCAGCTTGCCAATCTGCACTGCATGCATAGTTGTCACTCCTTTTTTTTTTTACTCTTAACTGTCTCTGGCAACTGATGCATGTTACGGGACCCGGGTACACATATAACATGACCACTAATTCTCGCCTAACTATATGTTTATGAAACTAGAATATAATTAATAATGTGTGTATACACAATAAACCAATTTATATGAATCGTAACATCACATTCCTATTTAACACCATGAGTTTTTACGCACTTGGAATGTATTTACAAGGTAGAGGTATTTCTTGTGTAAATTTGGAGAGATATTATGGCTCCTTATATTAATACTACTAGTCGTCTATCTGCACTGTGACAAGTTTTGATGAGAGAGTGTCAGTAATTTGTAGTGCTATAGGGAATTTTTTTTTCTGTAGAATGTGTGTCAATTTTTCACATTTGATCAGGTATATATTGCTCTGACCATGCATGCAAGGATGATCAGGATGAACGCTTACATGAGATGATACACATGTGTGGTCCCCGGCACAGAAGAGCTGATGAGCATTAATCAAACTTTGAGATCTTAGGGATGATAAACTGTTGTCAGTTGTGACGAACAATTTGGCTATAAATTGTGGTCTCATGCCATTATTGATCCCCCTGAAAGTTGTTATGTTTGTGTACTGTTGACTCGATCCAACGACTAACTTTTTTTATCTCCATGACATTTACATGTGTCAAAACCATAGGTGGTTAAATTTGTATATATTTACAAACTTGTAAACGTCATTTGACAGCAGGGTAAACAGGAAGTAGATTTTCTTACACGTACTTCCCCTGATGTACTGACATGTGGACCTGTGGGTGTTAGGGCCTACATGTCAATGACTTCATCTGATGTTACTTACTCTGAATCAGAGAATCTTAATCGGGGGTTACAACACAGCACCTAATGTTACAAGAATCTAAATTGGTTCTGGGTATCTGTAGCTCTGAAACAGTTTGGAGCCGGAGGTGAACTAGTGGAGTTGTTTTGAGTGAGCCATCTTAAGAACACATTTCTATAATATAAACATAAATACTAATTCCTCCATTCAGGATATAAAAACCTAATATTAGATGTGACACAATGGAGGGATTACTTAATTTCACCTAGATTTTTATATTCTGTAACGAAGGGATTACTTAATTTCACTATATTTTTAGCATAAAACTCTGTATTATAGAACATTCTTGGAGTTGGATCTATCACATAGTCTACGTTCAGTAATCGCATATCCATAGTTTGCTATTTCCTTTAGCCGGATTGCCCGAAGACGAGGCCAACCAATTTCATCCAGATTTTGTGAGAAAAATTACAAAGTGCAAATTCACATCGACTGGAGGCTGTCGAAACGTACAGGAATAAAACATACACTGGCCGTAGCCAGCAATCAGACTACTCCAAATCGTAATCTCTCCATTCCCAATTACATACTCCTATATACTCCCTCCGTCCATAATAATCGTGGTTATGAGTTTCAATGCGTGGTTATGAGTTTCAATGCCCAACTTTGACCATCCGTCTTATTTGAAATATTTTTATGATTAGTACTTTTACTGTTATTAGATGATAAAATATAAATAGTATTTTATGCATGACTTAACTTTTAAAATTTTTTCATAAAATTTTCAAATAAGACGGACGGTTAAACATTGGACACAGAAACTTATGGCTGCGCTTATAATGGCACGGAGGGAGTATATGTTTTGGTTTATCAAATTTTTGAAAGTTTGAGCATTGCTATATGATATAGAGATGTCTTGATCATTCTGATCAATTGTCTTGTCAAGCAGGGAATGTACAACGGCAATCCATAATCAATGCATGAAAACATAACCATTTCTCGAACCGCTGATGTGAGAAAAAAGAAGTTGACTCTTTTGCGGCAGAAGCAAAATAGTCAAATAGATGATCGATATTAAATGCCATACTATGTTTTATTCATGTCATTCGTACATCTCAACATTTTGAGTTATATTCTCAAAGAATTCATTTCTAGTGTTAAAAATTTGTCCCACAAAGACTTCATTTTTTAGAGTTACAATCAATCAGGTTAAGTCATGCACATTTAGTTGGAGCACTAGAAAATATACCAGGGCATTAATTAATAGGGGGCATCATAGGCATTTCTTCTCGCTATTAGTTTGCCTAAGAATTGTTAGAAATAAAGTCTTTGCGGTATTGATGGAGTATACAATTAAGAGTTTTATATATAATTAACAAGGAGACTTATACAGAGACAGGCAATAGCCGCCATCTCAACCATAGTATTCGCGAAATAAACGAAACGGCATATTTTCAAACGAAAAGTAATTTGTGAATAAAACTTTTATATGATCTAAAAGCAAAGGCTGAAAAATAAACTTCGATGAAAAAACCTCAAAATCAGCTCCAAATTTAAGGTTGAAAATTCAAAATTTGGCTGACAAGCATGAGCATAAGCGAAAAAATAAGACCTGTGATGCTTCTTATTTTCTAGTACAGTAAACTAGCCAGGCCAGTTTCAATACAATACACCATTCTGACAGCTTACTTATGTCCTTCTGAATATGTTAAAAGAGGTCAGCGACCTAGCATCATTCTAGGAACAATGTATGATGAACATGCCTGGAAAACATCATAGTACTTATGTAAAACACTGGCTGCTAAAGTTCTTTTTTTTTTTGTAGTGGGGAAATAAGGTTCTGATGAGTTGGCTCGACGTTCTGTTGATTGCTCAAGGGGGAAAAAATGCTTAATTAATCAATGGTCATTTCACAGGATAGCCTATGGTGTCAACAGATGCCAGCCTAGCTAAACCTACATTAAGATAACACGAAATGCTGGGATAGTTGACTTGGTACTTCTTGTTGTACACAACTTCAGATTCCTGCATCCATGGGATATAGTTCGAAATATATAAAAAGAACAAGCATGTATCCTGCCGTGAAATACATCCATTTCAAAATATAATTAAGGGCCCTTTGAAATGCCGTATAGAAAAAACACAGAAATAATAGAAAAATGCAGGAATTGAAGTGATACGTGTTTCCCCTAATCCTATAGAAATAAAGAACACAGGAAATATGAAGAGGATCCTTCGATAGCATTGTAAGAAACAAACAAGGCAAAGGGCCTGTTTGGGGGAGCTTTAGGGGCTGTTTGGTTCGCATCCTGATGCTTGCATGCCTGGCCGGAGCGCTGCCTGAGCTCCAACAACTACGTGTTTGGTTTGTGCCCTGGTGTATCCTAAGCTAGCTTGACCTGACTCTTCATTAGCCTGCTAAATCCTCAGGCAACTTCATTAGCCTGAGCCAGGCCATCGAATTTGGACGCCTGAGCTTCAGGCAGCTACTCTTAATGATGCATGTGTCATTTATTCTATGCTTTGCTCTGGTAAAAGTTGCTTTTTGATATTCTATTATTCTTCAGGCATGTGCATGAACCAAACACACAAAGCTTCAGGCTGCCTGATGAGGCAAGTGTTGCATCTCCCAATGCTGCCTGTCCGGCGTGAGTTTTTCTCAGGCGTGGCCTTCAGGACACGAACCAAACAACCCCTTAGATTTTGAGAAGCAGCTGTTTGGTAGTCAGCTTCTGAGAATCTGAAAAAACTCTGAAACCCAGCTTCTCCAGCTTCTGGCTTCTTAGTTTATTTTTCAGAATCTATAACTACAGATTCTCAGAAACTATGGACTGTTTGAGGCAGCTTCTAGCAGAAGCAGCTTTTGGGAAAAGCTGCAGCTGAGAGAAGCTCCCCAAACAGGGCCAAAGGAAAGTTTGTAAGAGGTTTGACCTTTTACTTATTTTTCTATGAAATTGAGTCACAGGATTGTAATCCTATGAAAAAATTCTTATATTTTCCTATGAATCAAAGCAGTTAGGAATTTAACCCAGTAAGGTCAATTAATTAATATCAGTTTATATTTAAGTGGGGTTATTTTTCTAAGTTTTCTGGATTTATAATAAAACTCGAGGTTTTTAAAGGGGTTTTTGAAAAACCTTTGGGGTTAGAGGATATGCATGGATCGACCACTGAATCAAAGGGTTCAATAGGAAATATTTCTTAAGAAATTAAATCCTCCAAAATTTCTATGGTAATCCTTGAATTCATAGGGGCGCTAATTAAGCATTTTTAGGTTCAAAAACTACAGTAGAGGGGAACAACTATTTTTTAGTCACTTTAGTGGTTAAAATTTAAAGTCTGAATTGTTTAGATTCACTTCCAAAGCATCTCATTGCCTTCCAGTACTACAATGGTCCTGCGATAGATATAGTCTGAAAAATGAAAAGAAGAACAGCGTCAACTGAAAATACCTGGGAGGAGGATTGGTTGCCATAACCTGTCCTATCGTAACTTGTAGTAACTACAATTATATTTTCAAGAAAGTGAAAGTTTTCATAGGAAATAAGTTAGCACATGAACCATACTCGGCAAGGGCATATGTTTAATGAATTTATGTGCTGAAAATTCATGAAATAATATAAATAATAAATTGTTGACATGGATGCCGATACATATTACCAAGTAAAAATTCAACCTTCATTAGAGAAAATTAGGTGATTCTCCGCGTTTTGCTGCGGGAATTATTAAGCGATTTTCAATATATTTTTTTCGATAATCGAGCTAGGAGTAAAAAGAAAACAAAATAATGAAACATGAGGGTTTATTAGTATTTAGCATAAAACAAACAAATGATACCTGTTGTTAATGTGAAACCTATTGATAAGTATATGTTAAATATTATAAAAATGATAGCTAGATTTGTTAAAATATTATAGAAATGATGTGAGGGGTGATGATTAGATATATCTGCATGTTGATTTATAGAATTAAATAAATTATAGATGATGATGTATGCTTGCATGAGGTTATATATATAACTATTGCTAGTGGGTGATGATGTGGCACGGTTGGATGTTGTGTTTTAGTAGTAAGATATGATTGGCTCAATTATTATCGTATGACGTGTGGACTAAAAAATCCAAATATTATAATGTTGGAATATATTCAATATTAGACTCTTTTTGTTCTATATTTTAAGTAGAGATCATAAGTATAAATGGATTTTGAATAGGGTACACTATATGAAAAATATTAACTATCAAAGATTATACAGGGAGAAAATCAACTAGTGCTAGCCATGTGCTTGGTCGTTGGTTGCTTTTGTCTCATCAGCGCATATTATTTACTTGCTAATTAAGTATCATGTTGTTAAGCATGCCCATTAT